TCGTCATGTGGGCGGATGCTAGCAGCGGGTAGCGTCCTCCGGGGATGTACCTGGTGTCATCGATAAGTATGGGGTTCAACAATTAGAAGTTGAGTTATCACGTACGCTCCAACGCTGTTGATGGGAAGGTTTTTCTGGCCCAGGTGCACTCCCTTGAACTGGTCAGTGGCGCCTTCACAGGAATATGTTACATTAAAAGTTTCACAAGCTGGATGGGCTTACCGGCTGGATCTCATACTCAAAGTCGCGAATAGAGTCTCGCTGGGCCTGCGCAAAGGCACGAACGTTCTTCTGCACCTCCTTGATGTCGGCAATCGTTTGGGGCGAACAGGCCGCCAGGGCAGCATCTATATCATTTTGGGAGAGCTTGAACGAGGCTGGCGACCAGCGGTCAAATTTCGCCGAGTACTTGCGGACTGCTGCATCTCCATTGGCACGGACGTCGTCGATTACCCCCTTTACAACGCTACTCACGTCCACCTGAGGTGTCGCAGCTGAGTTGGGGGGTTGAGACTTGCTTTTCAAGTATCGGACCGTCATGTTGAAGTCGTATTAACTAGTTGATCAAGGTAATCTAGCATATGGGGAGAGTCCTACAACAACCATCGGACAATGGCTTGCTTTTATGATGAATAGCTACGGTAAGTAATGTTCATACAACTCTATCGGCTCCACTCGGCGGTCCGCAACAGCCCTCGGAAGTCGGCCAGAAGTCCGAGTATAGGTCAGTGCATTACCATCACAAACTAAGCAATTGACGGGAGGGTGTAATGTGAGGAGGAGTAAGGCCGTCGGACTCAGCCGGAGGGCCTGGTAATACATGTAATGGCACATGCTTTGGAATTTCTTTTGCGTTTGGTGATACTCTCACAGATAGTCCGTCAAAGAATCCGCGTTCTAAAGGCTTCTTCCACCGCAATCTATTTTTGCGGACTACTAACCCATATCATCTCTAAAGAAGGCTGTCGCTCCTTCCCCACTCATATGGGCATAGGTCGCCCCTCTTGGTGATCCTTGTTCCCGTCCCCGTGGGGTGGAGCCGAGGTCCTTCGGCACAGAAGGTACAGCCTTTACCATTTGAGGCAGAACATCAACCCGACATCATTGTGAAGGTTGCTGAACACAATTCCTATGTGTTTCGGCCATTTTGAACAATGGGAGAAAAAAGCGCTATTTTCAATTCACGTCACAAGATCTTTAACGTTGAAGTAGGTAATATTGCATCATCTACAGTTGGCCTGTTGATGCCAATGATGATCCATTGCGACAAGACCTCCTATGATGCGACTTGGCTGTGACATTTGACATGGGCATATGTGCATCTCTATCGTACAAATTACCGGATGAAGCCGTTCTGCTTGTCTAGTGATTTTTCTGTTTCAGATAGCTTCATGCCAAGGGTGTGACATACAAACATCCTCATTGCATTGACTTCAAGCTTCCGTAAAGTTGAATGAGGGAAATTACGCAAGTATACGACTCAAAAACGTACCGCTCTATCTCAGCATCAAATGGTGCTCATCAACATTTTCACAGTGACTCCATAGGCACGCCAACATGCATGGCGTGGCAAATATAAATAGAGAAAATGTGTTAATCTGCTACCATAGCCTAGCCTTGGCATGCTCCACATTCTAGCCCAGTTACATGACTTCATGGGTTACAGAAGCATGATCGGCATTCCCCGAATGTGTCAGGTACGGGTCACTTTCGACCTGTCGTAAATCCCGGGGTAACACTTTTCTCCTTGTACACGAGACCTTCGCATCGTCTTTCAACATGCATCGTCATACTGGCCATAGCCACAATTTCCCATTGATCTTACTAGGGTGCTCTAGCCGGCACCATGCTGCTAAGCTTGCCAGAAAGGGCAGGCTAGGCGGCTTTTGAGAAGGCCTCGGCCTTACCCAGGGCTCACACACCGCTGACCCTTTCATGACTTTGTGACCATGTCCAACGTGTTAAAGCTGATATAGAAAAGATCGTTGCCGGTCACTCTCTCTGCTATGCTGACATCGCCCGATGCCCGATATTATAACGCATCGACCTGAGTTATGCCTTTAGTCCTAAATCTTAAAATTGCTCGAAGAGGAACAGATACTGATGAACAATGAGCTGTCTCCGCAATATGTGAAGCGAATGTGGCCGGTAATTGCAACCAATAGCAGTACTTCTGCTACAACTATAAGCCTATCATCCAACTCGTGAGGTAGTGAACATATATCTTGGACTCTGCTTTTTAAACTTCAGGGGCTGTCCGCATGTAAACTACTGAGTTCGGTGAATACTACTAGTGATCTTTGCCTATCATATAAGAGATATGATACGAATATCTCAAATCACCTTAAGCTGTCTGGCTTGTCCACTGTATTTCGAATACCTTATCTTCCCGTTTCCCTATCTTTCGCTGATTATTTCTCGGCAGTTCCTCGGATGGGAGCCGGGCACGTGCATGATGACCGTCATGTGACTTCAGAAGAGGCTCTGGCTTATTGACCAATCGGAAGGGCGGGAAAACAAACTTACGCAAAAGAAACCCCTCACGGGCCGACGAACCCCTCACCCCTCATGAGGGGACAAGCCCTAAACTGGTTAAACCTGGCCCGAGTTATCTAATTTATACTCTTAGCAGTTAGATCTGGCCCAGCGGGTGTCGAGCTGTCACCAACCGTCGGGTCCTAGATACGGCCTCATCCACTTTTGGCGCTAAAGGGCGGCCGGGAGGGAAAAATTTTATCTTGGGGGCTTTTCAGCGTCAGGATGTTTCTTTTTATTTCTGTCTTCAGTGACTCTTTTCTTCCTCTTCTCGTGTGCACCGTAAACCCCATCCCTCAGAGCCGGCTCTGTGGACATCATCTTTGACCCCCTTTGGATTCTCCTCGCGGATAGCTTTACTAGCGCATCCTCCCTTATTCCCGGAAACTTTAATCTCACGTCCATCATCATGTCCAAGCCCGTCTACACCCTTGCCGAGGGTAGGTGACACGTATCCTCTCTCTCGTCTGTCCAATGTCTCCTCTAACGATGTGCCTCCAGGTCAACCCCTGCCCAACCCCTCCGTCAGCACCACCCTGCCGACCTTTGGCGGCGGTGCCATCACCACCTTGGGTGATACCTTGCTGATCGAGACGTTGACCCATTTCAACCGGGAGCGGATTCCGGAGAGGTACGGCCGCCCTTCCGGCTGACCCACCGCTCATCGGCACTTTCGTCCACTAACCTCGTCAATTCATTCAACAGAGTTGTTCATGCCAAGGGTAATGGTGCCTGGGGTGAATTCCGCGTCACCAAGGACATCTCCCACCTCACCCGCGCCAAGTTCCTCAACGGAGTTGGCAAGACCACCAAGGTGCTTTTCCGCGCCAGTACCACCGGTGGTGAGAAGGGTAGCGCAGATACCGTGCGTGATGTGCACGGCTTCTCCGTCAAGTTCTTCACCGAGGAGGGCAACCACGACATTGTCGGCAACCATGTGGTAAGTTGACTCGTTTCTCGTGGACCTCTGAGACATCGTCTCACCTGTAGTAGCCCGTCTTCTTCGTTCGTGACCCCGTTCGCTTCCCCTCCCTGAACCGGAGTCACAAGAGGCACCCTACCACCGGTCTTCCCGACATGAACATGGTAAGTTCAACCTCTTTACACCACCATCCTGATTGTCGACCTTGCCGAATTAACTGGGTATCTAGTACTGGGATTTCCACAGCAACCAGCCTGAGAGTGTCCACACCCTGATGCACGTCTTCGGCTCCCGCGGTCTGCCCCAGTCCGCACGCCGCATGACCGGCTTCGGTATTCACACCTTCAAGCTGGTGGGTCACGACGGCAAATTCCGCTACTGCAAGTTCCACTTCAGACCTGTGCTGGGCTCCCACAACTTCACCCCCGAGGAGGCCACTCGCATGGCTGGTGTCAACCCCGACTTCCACAACGAGGACCTCTTCCAGGCCATCGTGCGCGGTGACTACCCCAAGTGGAAGTTCTACATCCAGGTGATGGAGCCCGACCAGGCTGAGACCTACGGCCGCGCCGTCTTTGATATCACCAAGGTCTGGCCGCACAAGGACTTCCCTCTCATGGAGGTCGGCGAGATGACCCTCAACCGCAACGTAAGTAGACTAGAAGCCAGGATTCTGATATTAGTACCGACGTGCTAATGATGATTGATCAGCCCGAGAACTTCTTCGCCGAGATTGAGCAGGCCGCCTTCTCCCCTTCCAACCTGGTTCCGGGTATCGCCGTGACCCCTGATCCTAGTAAGCTTTCCCGCATCAGTTCGCGTGTAGATGAGGAGTTGAACTAACCCACTGTAGTGCTCCAAGCACGTATGTTCGCCTACCCCGATGCCCAGCGCTACCGTCTGGGAGTCAACTACACGCAGCTGCCGCCCAACCGGGCCATCTGCCCCGTGTATGCGCCCTACGAGCGGGACGGTCTGGCCACCATGGGCCGCAACTACGGTGGCGACCCGAACTACATCAAGAGCACCCTGACCCCTGGCGTGTTCAGCCAGTCGGTGCAGGAGGTGCGCCACCACGAGTGGTTGCGCTCCGGTGCGGTGCTGGGACTCAACGAGATCCCTGTGGACGACGAGGACTTTGTGCAGCCCCGTGCCTTGTGGAACAACGTGTTCGATGAGGCCGAGCGCAGCCTCTGGGTGGACAACGTGGCGGGAGCCCTGGAGGGAGTTGTCCCGGAGATCCAGAAGGCCACCATTGCCATGTTCAGCCGTGTGGAGCCGCAGATTGGTCAGAGATTGGAGGCCAAGCTGAAGAGCTCTTCCCGGTTGTAAGTGGAAAGAGGGGGACTTATAGATCATAGATGTATCAATGATAGACGATAGACAATATAGATAGTGATTCAAACAAGGAATTCATGCCTCAAACTCATTCTGGTGGGGGGCAATCATGGTCCCGTGACCTCACCCCGCATAACCCCGCCAGTTTAGTTTACCATAACTGCGATCTGACAAGGATCAACAGCGTACTACCGAGTACTCAGCCATGGCCGTGCAAAGTCTACTAGATCCTAACCGAGATAATGTCACTCTAATGGACAATTGTTCTCATCCCCCGGAACCGTCGATATGGTCCGATCGGGCCGTGCAGGAGGCATGCCTGATGCGCTACTTCGTTGAAGAGCTGGCCCCATGGGTAAGGTCTACTCCCGCAATCCTCAACAAAAACGGCCCCTGAGTACGTTGAATGCAGTTCGATTCCTGCGATGCTGGTAAACATTTTGCCCTGATAATGCCCGATCGCGCGGTCCAGTGTCCACCCTTGCTCTACGCTGTCTACTCGGCAGCTGCACGACACCTCGGCCGCTGGCAATCCACCGGGACCCGCCCGGTCGCCTTTGCGGGGAGACATCTCCCCAATCTTGGGGATGGAATGGCCCTCAATTACCAGTCTCTCTGCATTTCCCATTTGATGTCGGCAGATGACACGGAAATTCATAACGTGGACCTCCTGGCCGCGTCCGTCATCCTGCGTTTCTACGAAGAATTCGACGGTTAGTCGTTTCGATCAATTGCATTCTATATCTGGATTGCTAACAAGCATGAGCCACAGCGGCACTGGCTGGTGTTGACGGGAAAACCCATCTGCGTGGCACCCAAGTGTTCCTCATCGCTCAAGGTCACTCTGCATTGCGCTATGGCGGACTCCAACTAGCGGCTTTTTGGGTTGGCATCCGACAGGAATTTCACAAGGCCTTCCTCGAACAGCGAGTCGCTGAGCTCGACCTGAGTTGTTGTGATGCGTCTGTCTATCGACGGTTGGATTCCGCAGACGATCCCACCTGGGCGAACCGAGTGGTCCTGCACTGTGTCGATGTGCTCCGGTATTGCTATGGTGAGGAAGGTCAGACTCGGTGGCAATATGAGGAACTGTGTGCCTACAACCAGCAATGGCAAGCTCTGACTCCGCCTACCTTCGATCCCTTGTATTGTCGACCTCCCAACACTGTCAAAGGGGAGATATTTCCCGTTCTGTGGTATTTGGATGACTGCATCGGTGAGGGCTAGACCTCATAGTTCAGAAGAAGACTCGATACTGATAACGCTTACAGTCACGGGTATTCAACATTGGCACCTTGCACGTCTTCTCCTGGCCGTATTCGACCCTACAGTGCCCCGCCTTGGGCCTGGTCGTAAGGCAGCCATCGCGCGAAGAGAGGTATTGCATGTACAACTCCGCCGGTAGTCGAGTCTGATCGCTAACTGCGATAGGCCGAGGTCAAGCACCATGTGTTCAGTCTTTGTGGGATAGCCATCTCGAACAGAACCGCACCAGCACTCGTTTCCGCCTGCATGGGAGTATCCATGTGTATGCTGTCTTTTCTTCATGGTAAAGAAATTCTCTTACTGACTAATGATTCTAGGTGGCGATCGCATGACCGATAGACGGGAGCAAGAGGCCCTGTTGGACATCTTGCTCAAGACCGAGCAGATCCATGGACTAACTACCACCCATGCACAGAATTGTCTCCGGGCGGCCTGGGAATGGGATAGTACAGTCTCGCAAGTGCCATCCTTTGATCCTAACATCTGACAGGGTTCTTCGTGCCGGGAACTGCTCTTGATTCCCAGAAACGCACACCTATGGTTGCGTCGTCACAATCGGGTGATTGTAAACTGTAAATCAGCTCTGTTGCACCTAAGCAACCTTAAGAGCCTCTACCCCACCCAGTAACCCTACACTGGTGTGCAGGATAGCTTCAGGTCGACTCCACGATACTACGCCGATGATCTGCTCTCAATATCGTCTTTGCGGCCTTGCGAGACCTTCTGTCGATGTGATTGCTCTCATATTTACCGAATCGCCCCGCGAAGCCATCGGTTTAACGCCGCATAGCATTTCTCTCAAGCGCTCTGCGAGCATGTGAGACTCGGTCTGAAGTTCAAGTGTACTAGGTTTAAACCTTCCAGTCCACCCATCGTAGCTATCGTAGCTTCTATGTCAACAGAACAGCCCCGACCTGCCTCTCCAACTCAGCCCTTCCCAGCCCTGCAACAGCATTAGCCAGTACATATAGCTCTTTAGCTTTAACTTGGCCTTTATACTTCGCCTACGATAGTCTCGTTACACTATGGCAAACCTCTGCCCAAAGGAGCAATGGCAGGTAATCTGCGCATCATCCACGGTCCTCCAGACAATGGTGTGACGATTACGACATACTGTCCATGTTCGCAGCAGTGTGCAGAAGGTTTAACTGGCTATATAAGCATGTGCTTATCGCACGTCCCACATACCCCTGGGTGTGTGCCCTTCAGACGCCCTTGTACTTGAGCAGCTACACTGCAACCTGCATCTACACCTGATCAGCATGTCTGATTTCTTGGCCTGGGCCTTGATCGTCCTTACGACCACGGCGCTCTTCAAGCAGGTCTACGGTTACCCAGCCCTTCAGCCGAATCTACTGCGACCACCAGTCACCCCTCCCCTGCCTGATCTTACGCCACTGGCAGCTGACGATGTTGAATACACCCTCGCGGACAATGAGGAAAGACCAACCACCAGCAGCCTAGGCATCCACTACGGTGAATGCTACTATATCAAAGACGTCAACAGCGGCAAGACACGCGGCTCGGATGGCGGCGTATACAGTTACTACAAGTTCGGAAGCGCACGACGAACCTTCCAAGCTTGGAACACACGGTCATTCCCAAACCCCGCCGATGCAGTTTAGAACTATGCAGTGCGCGATGGCGGCAAGTTCTTCCTCTGGGATCCGCAGGGCAGTACCCAGACGAATGGGGGCAGTTGGGTAGCCACCAAATTAGGCGGCTACACCTATCCTGGCTTCGGCGGGTACTGGTACTATTTGCATTTCAAGGGATATCGGACGCATAAGCGGCCTCATGGGGGAACTGCTGTGACGTTAGGGCTTGCTCAGGTTGAGCCTCCGTCTCCGTTGCCGAATTATCGCGGTCTCAAGGTCTCGAGGGATTATATCTGGAATGAGGACAACGAGGATACTATCGATGTTATCTTCGTGTCGACAGGTTGCCATGATGATGATAATGATGCCGTCGATGTGTAAACGGAGGCAATGACGGGCATTGCAGCAAGTGAATTGTGTGGCGTGTAGGGTTGCACCCGGAGGAACAAGACTGGCTCTCTCCAGCTCTCATGATCATGTTGCCCTGAAAAGTTTGCTCCGCCAAAGGAAAGTTCACTGCCAGAAAGCCAAAATTGATTTCCGAAAGATACGTGCCAGATTTCCCATGGCCTGTAACGATGCCCATCAACAATCCGAAAGTTTGAGAGAATCCAGCCCAGTCTAGATCCAGCCTAGTCAAATATAGATATTTTGAGGGTGATACATTTTCCAGATTACTCGTGAACATCGTCATCAACTCGCTCGGTCATCATCTTCACTCGTCGAACTCATCATCCATGTATTGGTCCCCCTGTGCCTGCATCGCCTGCATGAGCATCGCCTGGAATATGCTGTTCCCCCCTTCGCGGAGACCCAGCAAGCCATATTCATCAGTCATATCGTAGGGGTCATCATCAGAGTAGTCGTCGAGGTCGGAGTCGCCAGCGATATTTTGCGGACAGTCCGGATAAGGAAGGATGGTGAAATCGACGGACGTATCCTTGAACAGGTCCTTGATAGTAGTACAACACTGCTCCGGTGTCTGGCCAAATGGGATCTGCTGACCCGGGAGTTTGACGGGGTCGGTGATGTCCACGGCGAGTATCTTGACGCTCTTGAGTGCGGGAAGACGTCCCTGGCGACGCTTTTGGGCTAGATGCTCGGCCAAACCACGGACCGAAATGTTACAGTCTTCGACGGTGAGCTCTTCGAGTGTGGGAGGGAACTGGGGCTGCGGCGGCAGGAAAGCTTGTTGGACGGTCAGTCGCCGGAGCACGGAGAAGTCGCGCAGCGAGCCGATCTTCGCCTGGCGGGCCACATAATCCTGGATGTTCTCTCGCTCCCAGGGTTCGCGGTTCCAGGTCATTGTCAAGCCTTCTAGGGTGTCCTTGTGGGGTAGGAGCGCGGCGCTGAGTTCGGGGGCGGTGGGTTCGCGAACGGGGCGGAGGTTATGAGGCTGGTCCTCGGGGTCCGTGGTAAAGTTGTCGTAAGTGAAGGAGGTCACTGTGCGGCATGCGCGGAGTAACTTGGTGACTGAGGGGGCATCGATATGGCAGAGGTGTAGGCCGATCCGGCTCATGGTCAGAGACTGTGGAGTCCAGCAGGCGGGGAACAGGTCGTCACTGAGGTGGGCTTCTTCAATATCTATCGAGCGTAACTGGAGCCGACTGATCATCTCCTCATAAAAAGCGAGCGGGTAGCCCTTGAGGAGGTCGTCGCCTTCAAACCACAGGTCCTCGAGTTTCGACAATATGGCAGGATGGCGCTTCCAAGCTTGTTCGAGTGGCTTCATGGCAAAGTAACCTCCCGCCAATGTCAACATGCGGAGGTTTGGGGCTTTCAGGATAAGCAAGACGACCATAAGACTGTAGTCGAACTCCTCTTCCTTCAAAACACTCATCCAGTCGCACTCGTCCTCCTTGTCTAAGCGGAGATCACGTATGGATGAGGTAAAGAGCTTTCGGTCGTTGGCGGTTAGGGGCTGCGGGCTTTGATGAAAGACATGGTGATCGTGGTCTGGAAGGACGGAGAGGCTGCGAATATGTTCGCCTAGGCTGGGACGGCGGAGGACGGTACGGGTGAGGGAGACGAGGTTTCGCAGATCGCCAGGGAAGCCAGACAAGTCAACATGCTCGAACAGCAGGTGCTGGGCGAGTTCGCGGAACAAGTGGCACACCCGACACAGATTGTACAAGTCGATGATCTCTTGGATCTGTGCGCTCCCTCCCTTCCCATTGTCCCCCGGAATTTCCTCCATCAGTCTCATCAGTCTCATCATCTTCATCCTCGGCGACCCAAGGAGGGCGTGGGAACAGCCTATCGGCAGGGGGTTGTTGGGACTGAGTCTTGGCGCTTTCATCGGGAGACTTGGTGGTCTGATCCTGTGTGTTGGAAGGATTGCTATGGGCAACGGAGGAGAAAATCTGCAGAAGCAGCTCCCGGGGGAGGTCTTGAATGTGAACCATGGTGTTCAAGAATAGTTACTAGGAAAGTGAGGTAACGGGATCAGCAGCACCTAAGGCCGCCGAAACAATAGAGATGGAAAGGAAAGACTATCAAGATGGGAACATTGGCACCAGATCAGAGAGAAAAGCAAGTTTAGTCCCTGTACCTGAGCTGCCAACTAGAAAGACGGTGAAAGTTGACGATCAAGAAACGCGTCGCGTCAATGTTAAATTGACTGATCAATCCGTTATTTTTGGCTTAATTGACTTCGTGACAAGTGGGTCACGGGACTGGCAGAAACTCCCCACCGCTCTGGTGCCTTGGTGCCTCATCGCCTGATTGTTGTATTCCGAAACTATACTAATTAGTAGTTACTACTAGTATGGTCTCTGTTTTTCATATATCTGGAGTATGTCAGTAATTGCCCGCGACAGCCTTATCTGGCAACTAGCAACTAGGAACGGGGAACCAAAACGGAGTCCCAAAACAACCTTTTTAACACTTTAGAACTCCACTCCGCAGTCAATCGTTGCAGGAAGGGTTCGCTAGGACCAACTTACATATCTATTCGACAGCACTACTCTCTGTATCACAGAGTTCGAGTTCAGCAACAACGATACCCCGACAGTTGGGCTCACTAAGGCACTCAGTGATATGACTGGAGTTTTTCTGATCTAACATAACATGTAAGACAAACAAAATGTCATATAACTAGTACCTGATCATCATGAACAAAACCCCGGTTCATGACGTCATCACGTGTCCTGCCCCCGCCCTGCTTTTGTCTATCTACACCCTCATCCATTCTCTATAAAGTCTGTCATTGATCATTATCCTTCTCTATACTCCAATACTAGTAGTGATCCTTTGTCTATAATTACCCTTATCTCAATTTTACCATGCCTGACTTTTATCCCGCTCTCCGCAATCGCCGCAACAACGAGCTCGCCCGTCTGGCGGAGGAGCATCTGCAGCATGACCTGCGCTCTGAAGACCGCGATGCTCTCACCACAGCCACACAAAAGGTCGCCCGGTGGACGACAATTGGCTCAGCCGTTGGTCTCGGACTCGGTCTTTATGCTGCTTTCCGTCTGAGAAGTTCACGCAAGGCCTTCTTCGAGGTTTTTCGCGCCCGCGAAAAGCCCACTCACGTCGTTTTTGCCGGCGGACGTTCTGGTATTCACTGATTTCAGTGCTCCTCCTACTAAACTGCTGTATGCTGACATCTTTTCAAAACAGAGCCTATCCCAGATATCACCCCCCTGCTGAAACCCACCACCCTGGGTGATTTCACCACCTATTTCTTTGCTAGCGCGGGAGGGTTCTTCTTAGGCGGCGAACTTGGTAGGTTTCTGCATCTGAACGATCTCAATACCCTCATTAGTGGGCTTCTACTAAGTATCACCCCGCTGTAGGTTTCTTGGGAGGAGCATGGAGTGGAAGTCGTTGCATCACGGCGGATCCCGATCGAAGGCAGAGAATCGAGACGGCCTTCCGAAAATTCCGGGCGGAGGTACTGCGCAAGGAGGCGGACGAACTTGATCGAGGGCTAGATGTATCTGATCAGATGTTTTGATCGGTTGAAATCGTGAGGGTGGAGTAATAAAAAGGCCATGTTCTCTTGTCGACGAATTTTGGAGAAGGCGACCCTACGACGGCTTGCCACTCCTATCATGATCGGCTATCAGCTGCTATGACGAGCAAGACGATTGTATAACTACGAACGTAATCGAAGTACTCTCAAATCAAATAATTGCTTCCAGCGGGTTTTCCTCTTTCTTCCTTTTTCTTTGTTTATGACCTGCAGCAATCAGCAACCCCCCGGCCACAGCCAGCGGAGCCATTCTCGAGCACACGTCTTCCAGCTTCCCGAGAAATAATGCTTAACCAGAACATCTGGTGCAGTCTGATCTTCGCCCTGAAGGACAGCAAAGGATCGTCGCGGAAGGATGATCACGTCGCGAACGCGAACCACCTCGTGGAGATCGCGGAGCTGCTGAATTTGTTCGTCATCGCACTGTAGATATCCCAGCACCGCATCTGTCCACGCACTGGGACCGGTCCAGCCCATCACGTCGATATCCGCATCAGTCTCCACGGTCTGAGTGGAGATATAGTGAGCTGTGTGGTCTACGATGGACTGCAACACGTCACGAAAGATGGGGTGACCGGGAACAGATGCCATGGTCCACTGAACGAACTGCGGAGATCGAGGCAGGCCAGTTGTGGCAGCATCGCCCTCCAGGCCCACAATCACAGCGGGTGATTCATCAACACCATCGTTGACTGCACCCATGACTGGCCACGGCAACGGGTGGAGAAGGTGGACATCGAGGTCATTGTAAATCCCACCCCGCCCGAATAAGATCAAGTAGCGGCAAAAGTCGGATTTCAGGATAGGAGCGGGTAGGGCTTGGAATGTGGCTGCGTATGACCCAGTATCATCGAGTTCCTGTGCAAGTTCGTGGCAGGAAGACTCCCTCCAGTACTCGACTTTCCATCCTGATTGGAGCCACGAGGTGCTATGTCTATCCGGATAGAAGCTGGATCCGCGGGATCCTGGTGTCGAGATGAAGAGTTGGTGGACTGTCTGTGGAATGGCAACCTTGAGAGGGTTGGTCGTGAGAGGGTCTTGCTGTAGAAGCGCCTGGGACTGTAATTGTATGAGGTAAAATGCAGCGAGCAGGCCTAACAGGACGATTGCCTGGATAATCCACAGGCAGCGACGCCGCATTGGCGGGGCTGGAAATGCGAGCTATAACGTTGCACCAGTAATCACGCCTTTGTCAATCAGCACATCGGCGAGACATGGCCTGACAAGTGGAGGAAAAGCTTCCATGACCAATTCTCTTGCGTTGGACCATGGGGACTATTTAAAGTCTTGAACAGTTCTTCCTCAGTGAGACAGCGACCCACCCGGCATGTTGCGGAAGGGATGCACTTGGTCTGCGCGCATATGAGAGAGAGAGGGAGACGGAGGTGAGGGTTGACGTGGGGATGAGTTGAATCTGTGCATGCAGTCTGCGGAGGGTTATTCTGTCGCTTATGCTGAAGTTGCAAGTTGATTCTATTTCATCAGAGTACGATGATACCTTGCTGTTTTGAACTCGATACCATCTTCAAGGTGAGTGTGTACCTCTGTCAGCTTCTACCCTGAATGCTCTCACATGCACGATGTTCCGGGTAACCAACTCAATAACGAAATAGCTCCCCACTCGGCTTCGGCACCAATTCACTCCTCCAATCCGCCATCACCATTGCCCCTGCCCAGACTTACTAGTGCCCCAAATATGTCCCTAAACCCTCCACTAACAAAACTGCCCGTCAGGCAGACGAATTAGGGTTGTGGCCGGCGCCGACAATGCTTTCAAGTCCAGCCAGTCGGAGCAGCACCGAAGGACGCCTGCTGCTACGAGGATCAGGTGGGAGATCAGCCATTGTGGTGTGTTAGCGGCTATTCAGCGGGTGCGGCTGGACTCGTGGCGTGCTAGGTACCGCTAAGATGAAGCCTAAAACAAGGTCGTTGGAAACAGGAGAATCAGAACAAAACTGGACAAATTGCGGAACATGCAAGGTAGTACTTCATAGTAAAATCAGCTCCAGTGCCCTACATTTCCTTCTTCGTGGTGAAGTTTAAATTCCTACATATGTCACAGACTCATGCGCTATTATTTTGAGCGAAAGGGTAAGCCAAATTTTGACGACGCGATGCAATGCACCACTGATAATCTCTGCATCCATTTCCACCCAGCAGCAGCCACCCACCGAGTGGACCAACTGGGACAGAGTAGTAGTTATAGTCAATAGTAGGAGTAATGGTAGCAGTAGTATATACATTCCGTACACAGGGGGGAGGGAGATAACATGCAATGAACAGACAAATAGTACGTACGAGTAGATGCCGGCTAGAGGAGAAAACGAAACCATAGACGCAAAACAAAATCATGACATGAAAAAGCATTCCTCGGAACTCATCGAAAATGACCCATCAAACACCAATTCCAACACCGCGATATTGAATATCCCAGAACAGCCCAGCTCGATCAGGGAGAATAGCAGAGAGGGAGGCGAGGGTGGATCCCGTGAGGAATCCGCCGGGTCCCCGAAGGACTCAACCCGCCCTTAGGTGGAGGCGTTGTTGGCGCACGTCCAGCTCGCAGAGGAAGAGCTGTCGTGAATGGCCTTGCCAGAGACGTAAAGGCCCAAGCCGCACTGGTCTTGTTAGTATCCATGTACAATGGTAGGACGGGAATAAATAGGTTGATGACATACAATAGCGCAAGCAATGGCAAAGATGACGAGGTTGACAATGGTCAGGAAGATCTTTCTGGGCGAGGCAGTATACTGTCCACGGTTCATGACCAACCAGAACATGGCAGGGAGTCCGTCTGAGATGAAACGATAAGCCTGGAATTCCACAGACAAGGGGGAAGAGGTGAGAAGGGGGACTTACAACTGAACCAACTACCGAAGAGAGAACTCTGCCATCACAACATCCGTTAGCGACAACACATTTACCGCACCTTAGGGGCTAGGGAAAAGCATACGATCAAACTCAACAAATCATTGAACACGGGGATCGACTCGGCAATGATCCAAGCAATCACCCACACGCCCAGTGCAATGGCGACCCACGATCCGACAGCTGAAAGACTGTTGGTGTGCATCTGGGGGGAGCCGCGCCAGACGCGGACGTAGATATACTTGGACGCGACATGACCGAATACAACTCCGGCAATGATCACCTACCACCGAGAGTATATTAGTATGCAAAATGGAAACGAGATATGGAGGAGACACTCACGGTAGGAATGGCAAGGCCGTATGCAACCTTGCTCATCAGAGGACCGGCAGAGGACAGAGCTGGGGAAGCAACATCCGGACCGGCGTAGCGGTAAATGACCATGGCGGTGACAATGTACATAGTCGTATCGGTGACCTGCAGCATGGCCAGCGACTTGGGGAAGTCGCGAGGATCCTCCATTTCCGAGGCAAATCCGAAAAAGGCCACGTGAGCAACTGCAGAGCAAGGATTAGGAAGGACGCTTCGAGCAGAGAGAACAAAATGCAAAAGGACATACTGAAGGCGAAGACGATGTTGGTCACCGACAGGAAAGCGGTCGAGAAGCTAGGATGGGTGGTGATGTCAACCTGAACATGATCAGGCGCTTGCACGGCGATGGCCACCATGGTGACGATCGTGGCAACGGTGATACTGGTACAAGCTGTTGAGAAGGTCGTCAGTCTCGGTCTGAGAACCAAGCAGCGAAAGAGGGGGTGGGCTGGACATACAGGCAAGAGACATCCAATACACCTTGCCCATGGTGCGAGGCAGGGCACCGATGAAGCTGACGACCAAACCGACAACACCGAAGACGATGGTGCAGGTGCCGTGACCAGTGATGGTATTGAACAGCACGGTGAAAGTGAGAATGTGACTGGACATCAAAAAGATGCAGAACAGCAATTGGCCGAAGAATAGGATTTCGCGGCCAATGCGGCCAAAGAGAATTTCTCCCGCATCACCCATGCTGTGGACTTGGGGATAGCGCAGCTTGAACTGGCCGATGACATAGCCAGTGTACCAGGAAATGCCAGACAAGCCTAAGATGAGGAAAATGGAGCTGAACGAAGCATATTAGCGAGGGTACAGAACAAAATGAAAATTGACAAAATGGAAGCACTCACGGGACAATTCCGAGAGTCGCCACGGCCGACGGCAGGGACAGAATTCCCAGGGAGATATTCTCCGCGATCATCACTGTCACATTTCAGTTCAGACGGTGTTCCTTTACTTTGGAGGTTGGGTTTGGGGAGAAGCCCCGAGGAGCCTTACATATACCGCAGTGCCACCATTTCATGACACGGTACTTGACCTCACCACACTCCTCATTGCCAAAAGGGTCATTTTCCGGGGGGGATTCATGGGCGGAGATCTTCTTCTCGGCCAGCTCATCAGCCATGATGTCGGAGTCGTGGTGGACGGCGAGAGCCTCAGGATCCCGGGTAGTGGGAGCCATGGCGAGATGAAGAAGGCAGCGGAGCGGAGAGGTGGTTGTAAGTTGTCAAGCGGAAAGAAGATAGAGGCGCTACACTAAGAGAAGGAAAGAAAAAGGAAGGGGAGAGAGGAGAGAGAAGCAAGAGCAAGACAGAGAGAAAGGGAAAGGGAAAAGAAAGAGAGAAAAAAAAGATAGAAAGTTTGATGGTAGCGGAGGGCCGCAGACAGACACACCGGGGGAGGGCTATACGTATTATGGGCGGGCTGACGGGGAGTGGAGGATGGGCTGGCCTTTGCTTGACTAGTAGACTAAATAGCAAAGTAGCAGTAGAGGGCACCGTAGTATCTAGCACGTAGCACGTAGTTATCTACCGTTGGTTATTATTAAGAAACTAGAAACTGCGGGTTTAGGCTTTTTCTGCATTTCGCTCAGATTGTGGGGGGGAAAAGAAAAGAAAAAACGAGGATGAAGTTTCGCCCGTGGCCACAGCGCGGTGGAGCCATCCCCGAGCCCGATAATCAATCTCCTTACGTTAAAGGCAGACTAAGTCTGTCTGTCCGGTGGTTCAGTTGGGAAGGCAGAGCGAATCACACTGGAGAAGTCGGGCTGGATTTACCCCCCAGAGTACCACCCGCTGGGTTGATCACTCCAAACGGAAAGTCGTTACCTGGAGAAATCCATGACGGTGAACTGTTTGACGTGAAGTGACGGTCGCAACATCGAAGCGGATAGAGTTTGGGGCACCCCAGGCGTTTCCTGATCAATCATCCATCATCTCCAAATGCTAGTACGTACTTAATAACTATTAGACTGCTAACTAGACTACCAGGCTAGTTAATGCTGCGGTTATGCATGTGCCACGGGTAGGTACTGGTGTAATATCTGATTGAGGTAAGGACACTGAAAAAAGGTATGCTCTCAACCAGATCAAGATGCCCCGTTGCTGGTGGATTCTACGTAGCCCGGTGTACCTGATGGTAATAGTGTGTATATATCCAGGCTGGTTATCTCCCGTTGCTCTTTCTAGAACTACGGTGTGCACCAGTTATGAATCATTATCCATCGTAATAACGAAAGCGAGGAGGTACCGTAAATAACAATCATGATAATGAAGAGGAGGAAAAAGAACAAGAGGAGCGAGGGAGAAAGAGGCAAATTGACGAAAACGGACAAAAAGGCGGAACAATTTGGAAAGAGAAAAAGAATTTATTAGTGAGAAGAATGAGAGAGGGGCCCATGGTTGTTTCTGATTGGCTCTGAACGCCAAGCTAACTGAAAAGGGCTTTCCACTAGTTCAAATCAGGACATGCAGACGCTGGCTGCTGAGTCAGGATCTGGGCGATGAAGAGGCAGTGGTTCCAATATTTCTTGTCCATCATGGAATAAATATATGAACAGCCGAAGCGAAGGGAGGTTTTCATTGTTTATTGTTGACTTATCCTCTTGGTCAATGATTTGACTCAACAATGGGCCTCGATCTGACAGGAATTTGGACAAGGGCTCTTAACCTTCACCGGACCATCAAATCCAGCTACTTTCCTACATTCTTCGGTGTACCGAACCCAATGTAACCCCTATACAACTAACAACATAAAATAAATAAATAAGTGTTTAATGGGACTGTTGCATTGTCATTCCCTTTTTTGTTTTTCTTTTTGTTTTTTTTTTTTTGCCCTTGGCTCCTCTATTTCAACCACGTGGAACCATGTTAGTCTGTAGGGTTAGGGCCAGGGCGCTGGTAATTCTGGGGAAATGATGGCGATATGACCAAACTAGGTGAATATGATTTCATAATTATTATCGCCGGCTTTCACACGGATGGTTGATAATGCCCTTTTGATATACTGATAAGGGAAAAGGCAAGTGAGTATATGTTGGAAGGTTTGGTCGTTGATCCGGTTCCTGGCCGGTTAGCCGGACCCTTCATTTCCTTACCCACGAGTACTAGTGATCTAACTGGATAGATAGCCGGTAGACAGGAGTACTACTACTCCATACTGCCTACCTCCCAATTTTCCAGCTCCCCTTTCCCGCCTTCTAGAACAAGTGTGTTAGGGCTTGGCTATGGTTATCCCCGGAACCAAGCAGTAAGCAAGACAAGAAACGAAGAGGAGAAGCAAGAGAGAGACCGAGAAAGTGATCGATCAAGACAAATCAGCCAGCTCGGGATTCCGGGGATTAGGCGGGCTCGCCAGTTAGCTCGTGTCGCTTCCCCATTTCCCTGATGTTCCATGATACAATTGGATCAGAATGTCACACTCCTCCCCCCATTTGTTTCCTTCTTCCCCATACTTTTTACGACTAAGTACTAATCCCGATGTGTTTCCTCATGGTCAACCTCAACCCGAACCAACCACCGGAAAGGAACCCGGCCCGGCTCCGGTACCACTGCCGGTGGATCTGTGTCTTGGCCCTAAACCGGAGTATGAGTAAGTATGTATCTTGATAGATACTGTATCTCTCTCCACTCTCCAGATACGTCCCTTCTATGTACTAACTGTTGAATATAATCGCACTATCTATCTTCCTATCAAGTCTGCTTACCCACTGTAGATGATCAAATAGAAATTCCCACCTTCTCATCAGGCAGCTCTGCCGACCATCAAGGCCAAGGCTGGGGTACAAAGTCTACATACATACATAGTTAGGCAACTACCGGCTACAAAATCTTATTACTCACAGTGAGGCTATGCCAGGACATCCCGACGATGTCTTCAGTGGCAACAGCTGGATCCCTCTTTTCTTTGGCCAGTGTAGAGCTATCTCCCCGACGCACCCGGGGGTTCATCCAGGCCCACTCCGTCCCCCGCGCCCGTGTGAACTCATCCCCAGGTCGAAGCCTCGCTCGCTCGCTCATCTGCCTGGTCCGCCGATGTAACAAGCGGCCACAGGATTGGCCGTTGTGTCCGTGTCGGATGTCCTGCACATGAATGTCGCCTCCCGGTCGCGTATGGCCGCCATTCTCCCGAAGTGAAACTTGCATTTGCCGTGAGCCAGCGGCACCCATGGTGGCCGCGTGTCCCACGTTCGGCTCGTCCCTCTTTATTCCGTCGAGGATGGTCCTTGTACCTTGTTGATGCGGGTGGACGATGGTTCTTTCATCAATGATCGTCGTCGCTGAGGCCGGGGGTGAGTAGCTCGCGGAGAGATGGGAGGGGGTCGAGAAAAGAAAACTGCGAGTGATCAGCAACGATGAACCGATGTGAAACCGCCGTCCCCATCCTTGCGTCGGCCGGTTCGCACCTACGTACTAGCTGGACTAGATGGTTGCCACCAACCAGGCTGTGGAGGGGCCCCTTGGTGACCTTCCGGGGCAGGTCACCCGGCTCAGAGGTCCATTCGATTTTTGCTGACCGTCGTGATCTACCCCCAGCCTCTGCCATCGACTGACTGGAGGATCTTTGTGGACTAACTGGATATTCATCCATCAGGACACACAATCAGTAAGGATGAAATTCGGTTATCTACCAGTCAGCTCCAATAGTGAAGTGGCAGCAGGGGGGGCCTCACTTCGTGAGTAGGATATGGTGATCGACTCCGATGATGTCGGTCCCCGGTCGCCGCTTCTCCTCCCCTTCACATTTCGCCGCCCATCCTCTGGGGAATAGCCTTGGGCACTCAGTATTCCCTTGAACGTGTTGAATGGAAACATGAGAATACAGGATCTCTCATTATGATCGATGGATGCTGCCTGGTTGTCGATGGAAACAGCCGGGAAGGCACGGCGAAAGTCTTTCATCGAAGTAGGACACATTGTCACGAAGGGATGGATATGATTCCCGTTCTGACAAAGGAAACAGCTGTCGGAGATGGAGTTATCGAGTTCCTGCTAACGTAAAAATATCAACTAGCCAGAACGCTGCCGTATGATGGCGCTGTCACAGAATTTCAGCCCTTCTTCCAGAAAATCCATCCTTCATCCATCCTCATCTGCCCGCGGCCTAATTCTAGTTAGAGACATTTACGAGAACGACCTGAACAGCCTACATGGCCTCAGTGCTGCTGACCGTTGCCCCTTTTCGGTAGACGGCTGATCGATCCATCGTCACTCACGGGCAAGTCAAAGCACCTACGAGAGTCCACGGGCAATAGCACAAACGCCCTCAGTATCAGCCAAACCTTGTCGGCACGGGAAACTGCTTCCCCGGGGTCACACAGCTGGTTCTTCATACCAATGGCCCATGGCCCTCTTGCCGTTCGGTGACACCCGGAATACCAGTTACGAGGGTGGCGTCCCCCATCCCTATTCCTCCGAAATATCAACAACACGCTTCTTGGCCTGCAGCTGCAACAGACAGCTTGGTGTCCTTCGGATGAAATCTTCCAGCCGCGTCGTCTAGATCATTATAGACTGGACCTCGTGGCGTCCCTGACATTGTAGTGTACGGACACGTCGCAGACCTAACGACCACAACATCCCCCCCTGATTCAGATCATAGTAACTTTGGGAGGAAAAGCATGCCACTTTCCACTACCTCAGGAGGAATCAATGAGCGGAGATCCAAGAGAGCAACTACCTATGCTACTGAGGCGGTCCACTGGTTCTAGATGCGTTTCCCGTTGTCAATCCAGGTTGCCGGACCGGAAGTAGCGTTGCCGACGGCTGATTCACAACTGGACTATTGGAAGGGGCTGACACAAAAGCCAATGAACGTCGCTCCAAATCAGGCCGTGGGACTTGCAACCCAACTTCCAACCAGTAAATGCATGTTCTACCAGCGAAGATGCGATAGAGTAGTGTTGGGTGGCCTGTCTTTCCCATCTGGTGATCACACGGAGGAGGCAGAGGCATTCGGAGGGTTCTAGCTGATACCTGTCAGATTTCGGAGGCTAAAAGTCAAACAGACAAACTCTTGTCCGACAGTCTTGAAACTATCAGAAGCAGACCAGAGGCTTCAATACCCGACTACCTTGGCCGTCATATCCGGTTCAAGGTACGGATGTGTGCCAATGAGGAACTGGGACTAAGATAACAACTTCGTATGGTAGTATTACCAAGGTTTAGCGAAAGAGATTACTACAAACGAGCAAGTAGGACAATAATAATTCCATCTAATATACTACGCATACACCCACAGACTTTGAGACTGGTTTGATGACGCGAGATATCTGACTAGATAAGACCCGTCTAGTAATGATCAAAAGGAACGATACCATAGTAACAGCAAATTAGGCCTTATTTCCCACACTCAAAACCCTCAACACTTACAAAGGAAGCTCCCGGACAGAAGAAGGGCAGAAGGACAGAAACATAACAAAAGGAGGAGGGAAAAGAAAAGAAAGAAAGAAAGAAACAAAGAAAATCAATTAGTAACAATTTATTGGTCATTCCCGCCAAAAGCTCTTCCTTAACGGTGGGATTAACTTCCCAAGGGGTCCGTTTTTCTCGCTGGGTGTGGTGTTGTCCTCAACTTCGGGCGCGCTGGCGGCTTGAGACGTAGACGCGGACTTGGAAGTTTCGGGCATGGAGTTGGATTGGAGATCAGGCCCGGAAGGCTTTGTAGACTTGTTTCTGGAGGTGGTCTTGGGCTTGGTCTTGGGCCTGGATGTGGTACTGGCCTGCTTCTTCTTGATCACCTCGACCACCACCTTCGCCGGCAATAATCGGTAAGGAGGACGCCTGCCGAGCTGACCAAACGATTCTATATCGACGTAAGTGAGGCCCGGACGAGTGACGATGAGAACTCGACCCCCTGGAGCAGCTGCCCAGTCTGGAGTGCGGTTGGAACTGGTACCATGGTAGGTATGGCCGACCATGTTATCCGAGTTGTAGTTGAAGACAGACAGGTCGGGTAACCTGTATATCACAGAGTTGCCGTAGATCCCTCCTTCAGTGTAGATGACCGCGTAAACAGCTTGCTCAAGAATTCTGTGGAGACCACCACTGCGGCGAGCTATTTCTGCCTCACTCTCCAAAGGGCGGAGAAGGAGTTGAAAGACCCGACGCCCAAGCAGCTCGTCTCTGAACTGCATCACCAACGCCTTGCGCCGGGCAGAGTTGCACCTGGCCAATTCCATCTCTTCAACCGTGCCACCATGGATGTTTTGCGCATTAGACTCAGAGATAACAGCAGACTTTAGCCATGCCGCACCAAAGCCGTTCCCTGCCCGGAGCCTCTCGTATAGATGCTGGAACCGCCGATGGAACTGAGGGTCGCCATCCACGTCAGTAGGATCAATCTTGCCGTCCATGAACCAGAAGGGGGAGTCGATGAGCGTAACGAAGATAAATTGGTAGAGCATTGCCTCGAGGAGGACATCACATAATGACCTACGAGCAGCAGGAGGACAGAGAGCCTTGATACTGTCCCAGTCTTCCTGGACGCATTGACCTTTGAGACTAGCGATAATCTCCTGCTTGTCATCTTTAGAGAGATGGCTTTCCTCCTCGGTTACACCGAAGGTCCACGTCCAATTCCTCAGCGAGATGTGCAGTTGATTGAATTCGTCATGCATAAGCTCGGGGTAACCTCTTCTGAAAAGGGCCGCGCTTGACATTCTTGTCAGCTGCGTGAAAAAATCAGAATATTCTTCGCGTGTGCCGAAGTAGTAATCGGTAGGATAGACGCGTTTTGACTCCGGGGGAGTCTCATCGCCCGGGCGGGCGGGTTCGGGGTCAACGCTAGCAGCACGCTTGAGGGTCTCGGACCGCCGCGTACGGGGGACCATGGTGTGGCAGCAGAGGGAGGATTGTCGATCCGATAGAAGAAGATGCGTCAACAAGTACGAAGGGTGCCAGACGAAGAGAAAGAGTAAGAATGGAATGCGGAAAGACCAGAGGGAGAATCAAAGACTGAATTCAACTGCCTAGGATCTGCAGATGGAGAAGGGAAACAAGATGAGAAACACAGAATACGAAGACACGAACACCTTGGTCACAAGACTGGCGGGCAAAGACATACGAAAAGGATAACAATAAATTGAATTACAACTGCTTCCTTACTACGGAGTAATTATAAACCCTAGTATTTTATCCCTCGGTTGTGCCTTCAGCTGGGCCCTTCAGCTTGGTTCTTTTGCCCATTTAAACCTTATTACAAACATTGCTCTTTCAATAACTTGACCTCTGATTCCAATTCCTTGTATCTTTTTATATCGACCCTCTTTTTTGGGAGGATTATATCGCAGCCCATATTTTTCTCCTGTCCTCTTTGTTATTCAGTGTTTCTTCTAGACTGCGCCTCCGACTTCCCTCTTTGAGTTCCCAGAGTTTTGGATGGGAAAACTTTCTTTGTCCACGTGCCGTTTTGGGCTAGGGCTTTTGCCAGGAAAGTATATATTGTTATATTGTCATGTAATGACTGTTACAATGTTAGAGACAGAGACATACAACAGCCACACACACACAAGGAGAAGGGGGGAAGTGGGATGGAGAGAGAGAAAGAGAGAGAGGAGATGAGGAGAGGAGAGACAGAATGACTGGAATAGAACATGCTTAATGTGTTGAGTTCTATATTGTACATTCATGCCAGCAGAGGCCACAGAATATAAAAAGGTCAAGGACCGCTTTGGATGCCTCCCTCTTCATTCCATGGTTCCATCCTTTCGATTAAACCATACAGCTTGTTTGACCCGCTTTATACAGTCATTCTTTTCACTGGACTCTTTGTTTCTCACTCTTCTCTTATCTTCTCGTTTGTACCGCTAAATTCGTTCTTTGAAATGAACAACAGGCGATTGCCTGTGGGTATTGATCAGGGGGTCACGAAGACCGGCAAGTGACAGCCCTTCCTTTTCGCAGCTCTCTATGTTTCCGTTTAATTCATTCAGCCCTTTGTTTCGCTGGACGCCATACTAATACATTGTTCACAGTGGTGACTTACTGGGACGCGATGAGAGCACGGTCCGTGGAGTGGACGCCCCCTGGTGCAACTTCCTGCATCATCCCTTCAGTTCTAGCCTACCCCAACGGCGAGGATCAGCAGTCAACATATGGAGAGGAGGCGCTACACCAAAGTCCACGATACGCCTGGACCAAAATGCTCGTGGAGGGGGCACCTGAGGTTCGAGTTGCAGGACTGGACTTGAATGCTCTTTTCGGCGGTGAAGAGGCTTTCAATTATGAAAACCGCCCTGCGACGGTGAGATTAATCTCACACTTCCTGTCGAATATCCGAGACGCCTTTCGCAACGACCCCGAAATCCTGCGTGAACTGGGAACCGGAAACCTACCACACATCGACTGGCACTTTTCCTTGCCGGCTTGTTGGGGCGCAGAGGGCCTGGCTCTTATGGAGGCCGCCATCAACCAGGCCGGTTTCCGACAGAACGAAGGTCGGATCTACTTTGCGACCGAAGGACTGGCTGCGGCCATTGCTGTGGCAAACCGACTGAGGAATGAGTCGCTGGCACAACCAGGAGACCGCGTGTTGGTCTGCGACTTGGGTGGTCTAACGAATGTAAGATTTCCGACGATCGATTCATCATCAATAAACTTAACTTGGGCAGGACTTTACTGCATTGGATGTTGTTGCGGTGCATCCGACCGAACCTCATCGTCTATTTTTCCAGAGATATGACGAGGACAGTAAAGCGGATTGTGCTAACCCCAGAATCGACCAATCGTTGTTAAGCCATCTTCGGAGGACCCTAGGACTGCGCTTAGAATCGGGAAGGGTCATGCATGTCGGGTTGAAGGCGGCCATCGCAACCAAACACGCCTTTGACGGCCAAAGTGAGGTCAGTGTCGACCTCAGTTTTGACTCATGGTATCTCCCCCGGCACTTTCGAGGTCAACAACGCGACGCCTTTGACCAGCAAGGGGGCAGATTCACCTTCTCTCAGGATGCCCTCCAGCAGAGCATGGGTCCTGTTGTGACCCAGATCCAGGACCGAGTGGCAGCCCTCATCGATAACTGGAATCCCAGCAAGATTGCCATAGTTGGTGGATTGAGTCGATCCGGTTATCTGCAAGGAAGGCTGAGTACCATGCTTGCTACCAGGTATCCCACAATCTACCAGGTACCTATGGATTCCTTTCGCGGCAATGATGCGTATGTTCTACCCTCCGCTCCCATCGTCCCTGTCTCCAGCAGCAGCAGCAGCAGCAGCAGCAGCTAACTTCCAAGGTGTAGCATCACCGCTGTCGCCCACGGCCTAGCCATCAAGGGGGGGACCATCACCCATCCCATGGAGTATTTGGGGAAACATACCTATGAGCTTGTCACCCCCTTCGTCGAGGAGCTAGGAACGGAGCTTGCTCCTCATCACGGATTGCATCGTCGTATAGCCTTTACTGAGGTACGCACTGGTCGCCACGCGGGGTTTATAGCATTATTTCTGTTACTGACAGCTCGGCCTTTGCGTTTTCAGGTGCAGGCACGAGACGGTGTACCTCCAAGGGGCGAAATAAGTACCGTTTACAGCATACAGCAAGGTGAGCATGTGCGTGACCTCGAAATCCGGCGGTATGATAGTACCGGAGGTTGGTAGACACCATAACCATCATTTTCTCTTGATCAACTTTGCGAACTGACACTTCCTAGTCTCTGAAAGCCTTGGCTTCGCGGCACTCTATTTTCCACCGAACACGCACGCTTGGACATCTGCAGATGGGACTATCAAGCACTACCTCCTTCGCGCATTCTGGCGTCTTGACGCTGTGGTACATGCTAAATTGGTTTGGACCTTCGAGGTGCAGGACCCTCAGGATCAACGGGTGGCAGAGGTAGGGACGATAACACATGTTGTCAGAGACCTCATCCCCCGCTGGGCATCATGATACTGGCGGATCTGTTGGCCTCTCCCCCGGGCCTTTACCTCCTTATATATTCGTTCTGGTTACAAAACAAAAGGGTACCATCACAGTTCAGTGGTTGAGGGTGGGTGGCTTTTTCCCCTGGTTTTTCTTTTCGGGTTTCTTGGTATAGAGGTTTTCTTATTCTCGATTGCGATCGCCTGTGTATCTAGAATGTAACTGAATATAGATTTCCTTTTCCCTCTTCCAATTTCATTAAACTTACAGCAATATGCCTTGGGATAACACACTCACAGTTAATTGGGTTGAAGGGCTACGAAGAGGGTTGGTGTTGACGTTCCATTAATGCGGGCAGCATGTACAACCGTCGCTGGAAATAGCCAAACTGACTTCCGGGACGAAGGGGCACGATGGAACACGACAGATAGACAATACATAGACTAGGATTGAACTTAGGTGGTACGAGAACTGAATTCGACCGACAAAATGTACTCAACACGTCAATAAGTCTATGGGTACTCTAACCCCTCAGGGCTTCCTTCCTCATAATCCAGTTCCAGATATTCAAGAGGCGGTTTACTGCCGCCAGATGGTCTCTGGTAGGGGTGGAAGAGCCCTGACTGGACCAGCATTCTCTTCCGTGTCATCATCTTCCTGGCTCTCTCCTTCCTCCTTGTCCATTCCAACGGTGTTCTCGCAGTCATTGCTGACAGCAGCAGCTGCCCATAGTGCCCGGGCTTTTCTCCCCTTGGCTGCCACCAGTACTTCGGCACGGTTCACCATCCATGGGGGCACCGTAGAGAAGTGTTTGAGGGAGATGATGTCGATGTAGCTATAGCTTGGCCGCGTCACAATCAAAACCCGACTGCCTTCGACGGGTTCAAATCCTGCGTGGAAAGGATGGACGATCATCTGGCCCGACCAGTGATTGAATTTCGGAAGATCTGGCAGTCGCACAATGTTCATATTGCCGTAGAGACCACCATCGGCGTGAATGACGGTTTGAGCGGCAGAGTCGAGGAGTAAACGCAGACTACTCTTGCGCTGGGATCGTTTGTACTTGGTCACTGGATCCCGAAGCAAGAGCTGGAAGAGCCGGGAACGCATCAACTCATCAGTGTAAGTCTTCACAAGCGCCGTGCGATGTTTGACTGTGTTACGGCCGACGGGAGTGGGTGGGATATTATTCATCACGCAGGGATTCATCGTTGCGCTTTCCAACAATGATGGATTTCCACCACGCTGCATCCTCGCGGGTAACTTTGTGGTTTTGTTAGGGGTCAGTAAAATCGCATTGTCTGCCGGTGAGAAGTTTGAAGGAAGTAAGAAACAAAGACGGATGGGACAAAGGAACAAGAGCAGACCAAAAGATCATGATAACCAAATGCAAAGAAAAGGGTGGTTGGTATGCATGAACTGACCTCGTAGGAGCCTCTTGTACTCGTACTGGAACCTCTTGTGGAAGTCAGACTGGGGCTCTGAATCGGTGGCATTGATCTTTCCGTCCATGAACCAGAAAGGAGATTCTATGAACTTGGTACAGGTGAATTGGTTCAGCATTGTCTCAACCAGGATCAATCCGAAATTAGCACGAGTTGTTACGATTTTGGTTTGATGTAATCATCGTCGGTACCTTGTATACTTTCTGTAAAATTTTCTTTTTTCTATCTTCGTGTACTTTTGTACTCTCATCTGTTGTTGCCATTTTTACTTTTTCGTTTGTCCTTCTCTCTCTTTTATTCCTTCTAATTATTTTTTGGGCCAATTTCCTGTGGTGCTTTTCCATGGGAAATATACCTCGTATTCCCGGTCAAGCCGCAGAAGCTTCTTCCGCATTGACAAACATCAACACTTTCTAGCCCGTAGGTCTGTCAAGCTAGAGGGCGCAGGAAGTGCCAATGTCAATAATGGCAAAGCGAGACACACAGCTGAGTTCACGGAAGGGCAGACTTGTCTACTCTTAAGAGATCTTCTGCGCCTATGGTAATATTGTATTTTCCCGGCTCCACAAGAGACATGAAGACATATAAGAATAGTTTCGGACGTGTCTTCCCAGGGCCCTATTTTGGTAAGGTCCAAGTACCGATGTCGTCTTTGGTTTCTGACTTCGCCATCTTTCAGTTTCTCAATGATGAACCATGTCTAGCAAAACAAACAAATCTTGTGTGAATATAGGCGTTGGTTATGCAAAGACCGACAAGCCACCCTTCCCAACCCCTTCTTTATCTTCCCAATAAAGGTGTTGATGTATCCCCGTCGGGCAACCGCTAACATATGGATGAATTTCCGTAGTAGTGGTAACCTACGCTGGCCCCAACACCAGACAGGTGGGGCGCCTTGGATACCTCAGGAGACATGACTGGTATGACTGTAGCAGACACGAGAGGGAATCTCAGGGTAGAAGGTCACTAGTGGCATAACCAAACCTTTCTAGCCATTCTTCTGCCTGAGGCATCCATCCACCATGTGAACTCTCGGGCTGAAAGAAGTCCCGATCACGTGGTCCAAAGAGTAGTGACACCTCAGGCATCAATTAATTGTCCTCACGTGCCTGGCTTCGAATCAAGCCATTCCTTCATGCATCCCTCTTGTTGATTTCATATTTCACAGCATGATGATTGAGAGAGAGAGAGAGAGAGAGATGGAAGTTTACAGCAGAAGATGTGCGCAAGGCTTGACAAATGCACCTTTGCTTACCCATATTCCGGCGGAAGGCAGCTAGTTAATTCCGCGTCTTGCTAAGAGCTGATTAATCCCCTGAAGCATCAGTGAGGGTCTCTCCCCTCCGGCTTACAAATCCTGATTGGTCGAGCATGGCAATCACGCCACGGTAAATGAGATTGATAATAATGAAAAAGTGTTCAATAGAATGGAAATGTATTCCCCACCGGGCTGGCGGGGTTAAATCAAAACCCCTCTTCGCAGCACACCGCATATCTATATAAGCAGTAGTCCAGCCCCGACGTCAAGTCTGACATTCAAATCAGCCTTCCAAAATAACTCTCAATATCGATCGATTTCAGTCCATCAATCAATTACTTAGACATAAATACTCCCACAATGGGTTCCACACAGCCGCAATTCAAAAACCCTGCCACCACCTCCCTTCTGGAGCTGGTCAAGGCCCGCCGCACCTACTACGGCCTCAAGGCTGAGAGCCCCATTTCCGACGATGCCATTGAGAGCATCGTCGCCAACGCCGTCCTGCACGTGCCCAGCTCCTTCAACACCCAGACTTCCCGCGTCGTTCTGCTGCTGAAGGAGGAGCACCAGAAGGTCTGGGACATTGCTATCGCTGCCATGGAGGGTCTGGTTGCCGCTGGCACCCTCCCCAAGGAGAACTTTGAGAACCAGACTAAGCCCAAGCTTGAAGCCTTCCGCGCGGGCTACGGAACGGTCTGTTTGCCCCTATAATTTAGATTGACCGAATCATCCAGCTAAACCAACAGTAGGTCCTCTTCTTCGTCGATTATGACTCCCTCGCCGGTATCAAGGAGAAGTTCGCCATCTACGCCGACAAGTTTGACCCCTTTGCCCTGGAGTCCAATGCCATGTCCCAGTACCTTAGTAAGTCATCTACTACCCAACAATCATCCTACCGGGCCACAACGGTCCTCACCATCTTTCATGGTCACTCGCTGACTCTCTTCCCAGTCTGGACCGCTTTGGAGTCCGAGGGCTTCGGTGCCAACCTGCAGCACTACAGCCCGCTCGTTGATGAGCAGATCCAGAAGCAGTGGAACCTGCCGGCCTCATGGAAGCTCGACGCTCAGCTGGTCTTCGGCGTCCCTACCTCGGAGCCCGGCGAGAAGGCGTTTGCGCCCCTGGAGGACCGCTTCAAGGTCTTTGGCAAATAGACGCATTATGATTGATGCCATTCTGGAGTTAGCGTGTTAGATTAGACTTGCGGATTTGTGCCCTGAGGTGTACCGCCGCTCGAATAGACTTCTCCTAATTTTTTTGCAACATTCTCGTACGTATCCGTAGGCGCGCTGGAACTGATAGGGGTGATCGGCATTGCTCTAACTGTCGTGATCTGTTTGCCAAGGAATCTGAAAACAAAATAGATCGAACACTACACAGAATTTGCGTGCATGAGGTCCTCACCTCTTCTAAGGAATCATCGCCGCATTTTAGCGCCTCGCATTTACCCACAGAAGAGATTGGCCACAGTGCAACCATGAGCAAGATATGCAGGACCATAGGCAACGATGAAACACACACGCAACCAGTCCGAATCTTGGAAGATGCTTATCTTCGTGGTCCCTGTCCCTGTAACGCCGACAGCTAAAATTAGCCCTCCCCACTCTTGTCCCGCCGAACAAACTCATCGCGCACCCGCTCGTACTCGCTCACGAATTACCCGATTGGGTAATAACACCATGGCTCGCCTTAAGGGACTTCTTATATATAAGAACACCAAACCAGAACTTGAGATAATGAGACTCACGCTCATCCAACTGTTCTTAAAAATACAGAATTGTATTTTGCTTTCACCATGGACTTTCAATTCCACCCCGGCGTCAATGGCTCCGCTCCCTACGTCGATTTCTACCCTTACACACCGTCCGAGACAGCCGGATACGCTTTCATGGCTATTTTCGGTCTTGCGACCCTTGTTCACTTCGCCATGATGTTTCCTTACCGCGCTGCATACTTCATACCGCTAGTTATCGGGGGAATATGTGCGTCGAATTCATCTTTACCCTATCAACTGCCCTGAGCCCCACCACGACATCTATTCGTCCATTTTCCCATCCATCTAACATAATCTCTCATTAGGTGAAACCTTCGGCTACTATGGTCGTGCCTGGTCCCATCAAGGCCGGACGCTCATCGGTCCCTGGGCCTTGCAGGAGATGCTCATCCTCTGCGCGCCGCCCTTCATCGCCGCCACCGTCTACATGATCCTTGGACGCATGATCGTGGCTTTCGCTGCCGAACACCACTCCGTCATCCGCCCCAAATGGCTCACCAAGATCTTCGTTCTCAACGACGTCATCTGCTTTTTAACGCAGATTGGCGGTGCGGGGGTGCAGGTCACCGGCGACGAGCACCTCATGAAAACGGGTATCAAAGCCGTCCTGGCAGGATTGATATTCTCTCTGGTGATCTTCCTATTGTTTGTGTGGGTTGCTATTGTGTTTCATCTGCGGTTGAGTCGCGAGCCGACGTGGGTGGTCAATGAGAATCCGTGGTTGATGGGCGGATGGAAGCGGTATATGTGGGCGTTGTATGTGGCGTGTGGAGCGTTGATGCTGAGAAACTTGGTCAGGACGGTGCAGTTTGGAGCCAATGAGACGTCCCCTTTGAACACTCAGGAGGTCTATATTTATGTCTTTGATGCCGCGTTGATGTTTGTTTCCATGGCCGTGTTGGCGGTTTATCATCCGGGGACGATGATTAAGAGGGCGAGAAGGACCAAGGAGGCGGCGGAGTATTGCCAGCCCATGGCGGACATTGGGGATGAGGAGGGGGGTAAATGATGTTTTCCCGGTACTTTATTTCGTTATAATCTCTTTTGTCTTTGGGTTATTACGGTACATAGTATGCTTGTGAAAATTGTGATATTCATTGAGTTGATTCGTTGTCCAAATGTTCATATGTGCATACGAACTATGCGGTCTGTTATTATTGAACTATTACAGTATGGAAGTGCTATGTGTAGGTACTCCCCCTTCAATCACCTGGATCGGCCACGCAAGCCATTGCTGGTCTTCCTCTCCCAAGGATGTGCGCACCCCATGCAGCACATGCACATCCCATCCCTGCATTAGCCACGACGACCGCTGATACACCAATAAGATACTCCAATGCCCAAAGAGAATCAGTGCGTATCGGTCCTTTTGCTCCAAAAGGGAGATCATCTCCGCCCGTAAACGGTACACCCACCCCACCACCAGATGCATCAGGCAGATGCCATCCTTCCCAGCGCTGCGCATCTTATACACTTCCTCGAATGCCCAGAGTAGATCACTTATGGCAGCTTCAAACAAGGTTCGGGACGTTTCATCGGTCACATGAGACAGGATAAAAGCCTGGACTTGTTGGACCTGTTGCAGATGCTCGTCCAGTTCTGCCTGCAACTCATCACTCACACCACCGATACTATCGTCCGGAATCGGTTCTAGAACACCGGTGAAGACACGATCATGATTTTGCGACACAATAGAATGTACGCCATGCAACAGGATGAGCCACTCGGATCGGCCGACATCACTAAACACCAGATATTCGCCGCGACGGGGCCCGCGACCGAAATACACTAGGCAGATGAGAGCCGCAGACATGTAGATGAGCTGACAGTTTTCCGTGTTCAGAAGGCACAGTACAGCAGATACCGATCGGACCCCAAAAGTGAAGTGATCGTCAGCTTGAGCGATGAACTGCGTGCGCGAAGCGGGATCTTCATGCGCCAAATGCAGCGCCGACAACGCCAGAATTAGATGCATAATAGAGGGGAACGAAATGCCCCATTGCGGAACGTGATGGGACCAGACGCGTTTGTGGTCCACTTTCTCGTCTGCAAGAGTTTTGTAGGTTGAGGTCACAAAATGGTGATAGAGCTTCAGGTCGGCAAACGAGATGCCACCGGACAGGGCACTTCCAGCGAGATCACATTGCACTCCAGTGGATGCGGATGCAGCTGAGCTTGTTACAGCTTCTGTGCGGGTGCTTGGGGATGATGTTCGTGAACCGGGTTGATATTTGGATGGTCGAAACCGGAATCGGCGGGTTCGATCGGGGGAGGTCGAGGCGGCTGGGGAAGCAAAATCACATTCGATCGAGTGTCGAACACATTTTGTACAATGTGGCTTTTTCTCATCGCACTGGGGAAGGTCAGTATGACCAGAGAGAGGGGTATCTGTGGCAGATCTGGGAATGAAGCAAGCCAAGGCACGAAAAATAGACAACATTGTGCCTAATGATGCTGTATACTAGTTGTGGGAGGGGAGTAATATATAGTACAGAGGAGGGTTGACAGTATTCGTCCGGTTTCCATCCGACGGAATCAGTGGGAGGCCTACCTTGACACGCCGTTTCTTACAATTCTGACATCCTGCGCGGGATTTATTGTGTGATCTCCGCGAGCGAATCTGCATAGGCAGCTGGTCGTTCATGGTTTGGCGTGGAGGATTGAGACCATCGTATTCGTTCTGAAGTTGCCCCCTTTGGGATCGGCTCCTGAGGCACTCGTGATCACGTGAACTCAGCAGAAATTTTCGCCGGCACAAACCTTCTTCCTGAACGTTCCAGAGGTAACAACAAGCGTCGGTTTCTTGGATCAGATGTCCCCGCAGGGAAAGCCTTTCCTGGCGTCTTTGGTCGGCCACAGATGCAGCCCGAAGGAGGGTCATATAGCCTGAGTGTACACCGTCCCTGTCCCCTTAATTAGGGTTCTGGCATCGATCGGTGCCTAAAAATAGAGGCCGACGGATCAACGAACAAGAATGGCGGATGCCTCCATTCTGCCCTGGACCAGTAGGACCACAGTTTCATCAGTTTCATGGACCCCCTTGACTTGAATCCCCTCACGCGTCTCGGATTGCCGATCTCTTCTCCAAACCCAGTATCTTGTGTATCTTATCTCACACAAGCACCGTTAGCCCACCGGCCAATCAGAGCGTATCTGGGCCTTGTGGCGCCCGCAACCCCTTATGCAGGCAGATAATACTAAACTACGACCTAACCTAGTACTATCTAGACTAGATAAAAGCTACCTACCGTAGTCTTTACTAGCAAATATATATTCTTACTACCCCTCATTCCCAACATCAGTCCGCTACTGTTCCTATCCTTGTCTTCTAATTCCAGGTTCTTTCGGTATACAAACCAGCGAGATTGTAACACCATGGGAAACCACATCTCCTACCAAACATCCGAGTGTGAGATCCCATTGCCGGGAACAAGTGGCTGTGTCAAAGGCCTGCAAAATGGCACCCAGTCGAGACGTTTCGCCGGCATTCCATACGCGCAACCCCCCGTCGGCGACTTGAGATGGCGAAAACCTCAACCCTACCCTTTGCAACAGCTCACCGCAGGCCAGCCCGGGGATACTTATGATGCGACGCGATTTGGCCCCGTCTGCCCGCAGCCTAATTACTCCAAGGCCGTCAGCTCCCATGGTGGACCTAAGCACACCTACCACGAGGATTGTTTACGCCTCAATATTTGGACACCCGTTCCTGACCCCCAAGTGCGCAATCCCAGGTGGCCTGTCGTCATCTGGTTTCATGGGGGCTGGTTCCAGATCGGCGATCCCAGCCAGGAGCCAGGAATGGACCCCACGGAGCTCATCTCCACTGCACAGTTAAATGCCATCTTCATCGCAGTGGGCTACCGATTGAATGTTTTCGGATTCCTGGCGGGCGAGGCGCTGCGGGAGGAGTCTGCTGGTCAAGAAGTCGGCAATTATGGTCTTTGGGACCAGCGGCTGGCTCTGGAATGGGTGTACCAGAATATCGCTGCATTTGGGGGAGACCCAGAGAACATCACAATCTCGGGTCGCAGTGCTGGCGCTTATGCGGTTCAGGCCCAGGTATTGTATGACTTCCGGGGTGAGATGGAGGAAGCTATGCGCAACAAGTTTCGCAGACTGTACATGCACTCAAACGCGATTCCATCTCAGCCCAAATCTGTACAGGATTGTGAGCCACAGTTCGATGAATTGTGTCAGCACTTTGACATTCCAGCAGACCTGGCAGGAGCAGAGAAGTTGAAGAAGCTGCGAGCCATCAGTGCAACGGATTTGTGCGATGCGATCATGAAACTCAAACACCACACCTTCCGACCGGTCACGGATGGTGTCTTCATCCATCCAGGCGTCTTTGACTATTATCGCAATGGATCTTTCGCCGCCGAGTTCAAGAGGCGTGGCCTGCGGTTGTTTATTGGAGAAGTCCGAGATGAAAACACATTGTATGCCGTGACGAACGGCCCGGAGGCCAATCTGGAATCATTGAAATTGCAAGTGTCGAATTATTATTCTCCTGCCACAACAGACCGTTTACTACGCCATTATGTCCTACCAGATTCCACAGACAAGCAGGAATGGCAATCTGTATTCGGACAAATCATCGCCGACGGGCAGGTCCGAGCGCCCTACAGATTTCTGGTGAACAACCTCCTGGAGCACGGGGTGGATCTCAAGGATGTCTGGCGGTATCTCATCGCGTACCGGTTGTCGTTCATCACTGAAAAGGTGGCACCAGCATCGTTCGGGGTGAGTCACAGTATGGACCGACCAATTTGGAAGTAAGAGAATCTGCCTCACCTAGCTATAGACAGTACTGACAGCGTCCAGTTACTCGATCATGCATGGACCCAGTTCTGCAGAGCGCGTCTTGATGGACGACTGGATCCGAGATCTAGTGGCCTTTGTGAACGACCAGCCTGACTACGAGTATGGCACACGGTCGGCAGATGACTACAAGGTGATGACTCCTGAGGGCAAGATTGAGGTTCAAAAGGACAGCCGATGGGATAGTCTGTTGCAGCTGATGGATGTGTTTTCGGGACGTTCGGAGTCTTGATAGGGCATTCCTGGGGTTGGGGAGAACATGTAAACTTCCAGACGTTTTAAGCAACAGAAATTAAGCAAGAGATATGCGATAGTTCTGATAAGTAGCTAAAATAAATTAGTGTCCACTAATCAGCTCTCGTAGTCATGTGCCGGCGTTCGGCTAGTAAGCCGTCAGCCTCGCCATCCCTCACGCTTTCCCTTCTTCTTGACAACCATCCGGCTTGTATGCAACGGCACAGCTTGAGGACAGGCTCATGCGTGGAAGATGGGTCGAAGCACCTGGAGGGCTCAGAGCTGCCGGACTTGTCTGATGCGCAAGGTCAAGGTGCGATGGATTTTGTCGATCAGCCGAAACAATTGGTACTGATGCCTTACTTTCCGGGCACGCTAGTGCGACAAGACCCGGCCAGCTTGTATGCGATGTCAATCCTCAGCCCGCGATTGTGGAGGTTACTCTGACCTGTGAGTTACCACTCGGTATCTAAACTGGAGGACAGTTTTGTTGATTGAATTTAGGAGTCGCACCCCTTTAAGGGACACCACCATTGTTGGATTGAACAATCGATCCTTGATAGTGGCCCAGAACCAGGAGCAGTTGGTCTCGATCTTCCTGCGCGACTACTTACCCCCAGAGACTCCATATCCGAAGGATCAGTCGCCTATTCACTGGGTAAAACTATTTCCTTCCTTCAGTCAGTCCGTGTTGCCAGTCGTCAGGACAGCCCTCACTGCATTGACACTTGCACATGTGGCCTCCTTGCGAAATGATCACAACCTGGCACAATACAGCAGACACCATTACGTGCAAGCGATACAGCAAATATGTACACTAACAGATATAGACTACGTCTCTGATCTCGTCCGCTCTGCCATGATCCTTGCACTCTACGAGGTCTGTGCACAATCGTCAGGACAGGAAGATGCATGGAGTGTCCACGTCCAGGCAGCCGGCAAGTTAGCTAGTGAATCCAATTTTGCAACGGAGTTGCTCAACACGCAGGATCTGCGCCGACTCCGTACTATTGAGGTAGGCTCATCTTATTCCTGATTGACGCATCTGACAAGCCGGGCCCAGTTTCTTCTCATGTGTACCAATGTCAAGCATGAGCCTTCTTTGTCCTTACTCTCGCATATCGAACCGTCAACCAATAGATTCGACATACTTCTTGATATGCTGTACAAATTAGGCAAATTACATAGGTACATACAAAATGAGCTTGATCGCAATAAGACCACATGGAATTCTGCAATACACCTGATGAATGTGTTGGTCGAGCTCGAGCAAAATCTTTTAAGTTGGTATCACGAGTGGCAGTCAGAATGTCGCCATCCTATGTTTATGATCGTGCCACCCACAGCAGGGCCCATGCCTACACCGTATGGCAAACCGGAAGAGAAAATGCTTATACCCAATGCTGATGATATACCGCCGTTATTATTTTACTGGTTGGGGATGACAATGGTTTATGCTACGATAGCCAAGATCGTGCGAGGAATGGCCGATCCTCGATATGTACCCGCAACGATGTTAGAGCGACGTCTGGCTAAGGCTACAGGTCTCTGCCATCGCTTCGTTGACCGCATATTACAGTGCCAGGTCGGATGCGCAGGAAAGGGGCTGGGGACTACTATACTGGCAGCGGCAGTACTTCAAGCAGCGCAGAAACTACATTCTCAAGTGTAACAGAAGCTTCTTCTACTTACGATGCTAAGCAAGACAACTAAGCCACCCTATCCGCATTTACCACCTATCCATCTCACAGCGGGACACCTTGGAACGAACAAGATGGATTTGGTCAGCGTAGGGTGATTATATGATAGGAAGCATTCAGTATCCGAATTTCTGGCCAACGATCTCCTCGCTCAGCTTCCACAGCTTTTCCGCATATTTCGGGTCCAGAGCGTAGTCGACTGCCTCGCCGTTATTTACTTTGTTATTGACCATGTACGAACCGTTTTTATCTGCAATCTATCAACATCTACCCGTCAGTGTTAGTGGAGCATTCTTACCAGAAATGCTTGGATCATATGCCGCAACAATCAAGGTAGCAGCTCCCTGGCTGGCTGTTCTCCAGTTCAGCTTGGGGTCATCGTTAATGCTCCCATCCTCATGTTTCCATCCTTATGTTCATGTTAGCATCCTTCACTACCAAATAATGTCCGTCGTGTCAGAAGCTCTACATACCAGCCATGACCCATTCTTCTGGCTTCAAATGTCTTCCAATGCCAGTCTCCCGTCGTCCAGGATAGAGACTGAATGACTCCACCCCTTTCTCCCCTGCTTTCTCCGCCAGTGATACGGTAAAGAGCATATTAGCTGTCTTACTTTGGCCGTATGCTTGCCATTTGTCATAGCACTTCCCGTTCTAGCTGAGTGTTAGCCAAGGCTTCCTTCATCAGTTCTTATACGAGGGGTTATCATTTTTGGGACAACACAAACCTCAAAATTCACATCGTCGAACCTGACAGGTCCACGCTTATGGCCAGCACTGCTGACGTTCACCACCCGAACCTTAGACCCTCCGCTTATAATTTTCTTCAAGAGCAAGTTAGTGAGGAGAAAGTGGCCGATGTGGTTCAATCCAAACTGCAGTTCCACTCCCTCTGGAGTAGTCGTGTACGGTGCCGCCATGATGCCTGCGTTGTTGATGAGATGATCGATGCGCTCCGGATAGTTTCACCTCTGCAGCTGCCTTGCGGACACTTTCTTGCGAGCTGAGGTCTAGAATGAGGAGACGAGTATTTGCATCCGGTGTCTCGGCTTTGATGGCATTTTCGGTAGCCTGGAGAGTCTGCAGGTTGCGACCGGCCAGGACCAGGAGAGCCGGCTGGTGACGGGACAGTTGAAGAGCTGCCTCGCCTCCTACACTGCCCAGTGTGACACCAGTAATTAGGACTGTAAGAGTTAAAATCTTCCTTCATTCGGAAAATCGAGGAGGGATAGTTGGACATACCTTTGCTCCCTTTAATGTGGTCCGCCAGGACTTGGCAGACTTCTTCACTGGTGGACTGTGCGGAAAAGGACGACATTTTAACAACGATTCCGAAGCTTCTTGAAATGAAACGATGAGAATTTCAGTGCCATTGTGACGTTCTTAAGTAGTTGCCCGACAGTCTGCAGCCCGGAGTTAGCTATAGTCCCGATGCTATGATGCTGTAATCCTTAACATGCTGCAGCGGCGCCACAAGACGCTAACCCACATCCGCCAATGATAATGCATTTATCACCGAGAGCCCTTGTTGGCAGCAACGGCGCTAACGGAGAGGATGCCGAGAGTGAAGTCGATGCCCAGACCAGCCACACAAAAGATACTATTGATGGACCTTTCTGATAAAACCTTTTCATATGGCCCGAGCGGGTTCTTATACCGACTTCTTCATCTACTATAATTAGAGTAAGGTCATCAGGATTAACACTACTGTATATTCAAATTCATAACCTGGGGGCCGTCATAGTAAATGACCCGATCCATGGGCAATGATATATATAGTGGACCATTAAACTTGAACGAAAATTACTCAACGAACTCAAAACAAGCAAACAAGATAGACAAAAGTCAACTCCTCACAATACGAGACAGTCTGTATATACAAAGCAAAAGCCCCAAATATATAACCCAAAACATCACCCTAGTCCACCACCGTCGTCCGGGTAGTATCCCAAAACTCATCCGCCAAATGCGCCATAGGCCTCTCACTCATCCTAGCAAAGTAATCCGAGACTCTAGGTCTCCTCTCATCATCAAAGAACCACGACCAGCGATCCGCATGCGCAACCACCATCCCAAAGAGATACACATCCGCGGCGCAGAACTTCCCAAGGAGATACTCCAACCCTTCCAAATTCTCCTCCACCTGGTCCAGTGTCATCTCAATCCTCTCCTGCAGGGCCCTCCTCCGACCCGGCACCGGCGCATACCCAGTGACTTCTTCACCAGTCTTATTCCCCAAGTAATGATTATTCCACTCATACAGCGGCTCAACTACATCTCGCCGCAGACAATGAATGCACGAGCGGATCAACGCCCGCTCCTGCTCCGTATTCCCATATAGATAGCGGTCCGTGGGCGACACACTATCGATGTACTCGGTGATGGCTTCGAAGCCGACGACTTTGCGCACGGGCCTACGCGTCGGATTGTCTAGGAAGAGCATGGGGAGTTCGCCGGCATGATCCTGTTCCCAGATGAAGGAGGGTAGGATCTGGTCTTTGAGTTGGACGTCGATGAAGCCGGCGCGGACGCGGACACCGCCGCGTTCGTGGATGAAGTAGCGGATTGCCAGGCCAGCGGCGGTGTCGCCGTCGAGGATGTAGAGTTTGGGGTAACTGTTTCGAGGGATGGGTGGAGGTGGAGGTGGTGGATGTGAGGGTTGGAGTGGGGGTGGGGAGAGGGGACGTGGGGTGATGGATTGGGGTGGGCTGGGCGGCGGGGAGGAGAAGGCCTCACTTTGGGGGTAGTCGATGGTAGGGGAGACGCAGAAGGGGACAGATGGGTGGGTGTATAGGGAAGTTGGGATGTAAGGGTAGGGGGTGGAGTAGGGCATGGAGTGGGAACGCGTTCGAGGCATGGTGGCTATTGATTGGGTGAGGGTTGTGCAGGAGTGCAGGGATGTTGCATGTACTTGATTGGGAGGGTTACACAGGGTCGTCTTATATGTTAAAAGTGATGGATGGGAGTTGTAAGCAAGTTGCCCGAAGGAAAGGGAAATGCCTACGGGGTGAGACATGGCATATGCTATAGGGAGGTGTTTTTGCTTGGTGCTGGTCAGGAGGCTGTTGGCCAGCAGCGTATAAGCCATCATGTGTAGGGGAAATGGTAACACATGCGATCTTATGAAATTAGATTCTTTGATATGTTGCTGTGCTCTCCGATAGGTCGCATTTCTTTGTAGGCATTGTCCGGAGACTGCCTTCATACATAGCAATAATATACGATCGGGCGTCTCTCTTTGTGTGTGCCTAGACTGGCATTCTGCAGCATGTCTCACTGTTAGAGAGTGTGATATTCGTACATGGATGAAGACTCGCTGTCGACGGCCATCTCCATACCCATGTAACACAGAATACACACATTGCCTACTCACTCAAGAACATAACCAGTAGCTAGGCTCATATGTCGCATAACAAGCACGATAATCATGGATTGACAGGACTTCAGAAACACGGAGAAGTCCGATTCCGAACTGCTATCGGCAGACAGACACAACTATATAAGCTCTCTCGAATATAACTTCTGTCCTATGTTTAAATCAACACTTATTTCGTATATCTCGATCTTACTCTCAGTTCATATTCATTGACGCAACAACCCTTCTTATCCTTCTTCGTTATAACTCTACTGCAGAAGTAAGTTTGGAATCTCATTGACATGTCAACCAACTTCCTCAGCTAACACATTGACAGCTTCCGTCAACATGCCTGGCGCCCCACCGAGCTTTTCGGCGAAAGTATGGGCGATGACTTGGAATCATGGCCTGGCAATTAGAGCCTGTAATGACCGGGACGATGGAGCTGACTGGTATAAGGCCATCCTCGTAGGTCCCGAAGGACAAGAGGTGGAGAGTTTCCAAGCTATGCTCATTGAGAAACTGAATGCGGATATGGAAAGCTACCTTGACAATTACAAAAGTAAGTCTCTAATTTAGAGTGGTTGGACTATACTGATGTTTCGCAGAAAAAGCAGAAGAGAAGGAAAGAGAAGCAAAACAGAGTTTAGGCTCCAAGATCATGGATGTTTTGCGTCGCTGAGCGTCATGTCAATCATTGGACTATAAGTTTAGTCCTTCTATCGGCAAAAGAATATCAACAGTAGTCTTGCGTCTATCATACATTGTGATCGCTTATCAAAGTCTATCAACTGTCTATATGCATATCGTACTCTATGTAACTAGAAATCCACACTCTTAAACACCACAACAATCAATCACCCAGATGATTCATGCATCCCTACTTTGCCTCCTCAGGGAGGACAAAGTGCAACACGCCGTTCTTCTTGCCATCCGAAACGTAGATGCACTTGCGGAACGTAGTCATGAGCGAGTACAAAAAGCTGCTCTCCTTCTCCTCGTGGTAGTTAGCTCCCAAGAGCGGCTGGATGGCACGGGTAGCCTCCTCGGCCTTGTAGAAGGGGATACGGCTGAACAGGTGGTGCACGACATGGTAGTCGATGATTTCGTGGAAGAAGTGGCGGCCGATGAAGCCGATGCTCCGGTCAATGGTGGCGAGGGCACCCTTGGTGTAGGTCCACGATTCTGCGGAGTAGTGGGGGACAGCGGGGTGAGTGTGCTGGAGGTAGGTGATTGCGACTATTTTATGTGTTAGTTTTTCCTCTTGAAAGATCTCCGAAGAGAAGGGGAGGACGTACTCAGCCAGTGATGCACCCACAGATAGGGAACAAAGTACAGAAGGGCGACATTCCATGCGCCAATCTGTGTCGAGGCGTAGTACAGAATCGAACCCATGATAAGGAGACCCAAATCAGTCAAGGCAATGCTGAGATACTGCGACCTAGTAAAAAGGTCACCGAAGGGGTTGAAGTGGCTGGCCACGCCACGGATCGGACGGTTTTCGGGCAGACTCTTGGGACCGGCAGTGACATTCAGGAAGAGGTACAGCTGCCATCCGAAGAGCTGGTGACCGATGAGTTGCAGGAAGGAGACGATGGGAGTTTCTTCGGTCAGATGCTTAAGCTGCTCGATGCGGACGTTCTTCTTCTTGGCCAGCTCGTCGTCGGTCCAGGGGACAAAGACCGTGTCCTTCTCCATGTGGCCGGTGTAGCGGTGGTGGCGCGCATGAGTGATCTTCCAGGAGAAGTAAGGGACCATCAGGAAGGAGTGGGCGGCCCAGCCGACGATGTCGTTGAAGGTCTGGTGCTTGGAGAAGGCACCATGACCGCATTCATGGGCCAGAATCCATATTCCGGTGCCGACGCAGCCCTGGAAGAAACCGTATACAGCCCAGGCGAGTGCGCGCAGCGGCAGGGAAGGGAGGAGGTGGATGTGGAAGGCGCCGTAGGCGAGGATAGCGCAGTAGAGGATGTCGCGGGCGAGATAGAGGAGGGAGGTGACGACGGAGGAGTCGAAGCATTCTTCAGGAATGGCATCCTTCAGGGTCTTCAGACTGGGAACATTGTCGTCATTGTGAATGGGCTGCTGCTGCTGCTGCTGTCAAAGTAAAAGAAGAGCTGTTAGCCAATTAGGGCTTTTCAAAGGGGGTGTGCTGAAGAAAGGGATAGACATACCGCCGCCTGGCTGGCAGGCACTTTACGAAGTTCAGCCATGATTCGAAGACTCGCACAGAGAGGGAAAAAACAAACAAAGAAGCAGCGTCAGACACTGCGACTCTTGTACGATTGGGGATCTAAATTTTCCTTGTGAAAGACACAGGGTCTTCTCCTGACTTACGCAGCCATTGTCCAATCAGGGGAACGCAGTTCCTGAAGTCTTTTGATTTTGGAGAGATGGACCCATGGTAGCCACGCTATTGGCATTAACCTCTTTCCCATTATTACAAAGTACTATTTTCTGCGACAAGTCCAGCTAATCTGAACTCAAAGGATCAGCGTTAGACAAGGGGGGCTAGCGGCGTGCGGAAAACGGACAAAGTCGAGGCCAGTTTCCACGGATCCGCCCGTTTGCAGTGGGGGGAAGTCCCAACAAAAACAACCAAACACAGCATTTGCCTGGTGGTGGAACACATTGGCTGAAGAATTTTGGAAAATCAAGGAAAAGTGATTATTGAGTATTGATTATCAGCCTCTACGATCAAGATAATCATCCTCGCCGTTGCAAGATCTCGGGCGACTTGAACTTCCTGACACCTGCAAGATGCAGATGCACCGTCAATCCCCAAGAGTTGATCCTCGCCGACTACAGTCTAGTCTCGCTTCTTCGGCCGATGGTTCGGCGCTTAGTCTGTTCTGGAACAAATTTAAACTTCAACGCTTTCCACCTTCTCAACGTTTTCGCCTCGCGACTCTTAGCGGCGCAGTTTTTTCTACCTTCGCTTGCGACGACTTGCTTAGGGCTTTCTCAAACACGGGATGGTGAAACTCGAACAATTGGTCCACAACAAATAGCAACGCTGTTTAGCAGGCGTTTTGACCTGGATGATGATTTATCCAATGGCATTCTTATGGACAGGTCGGGCAGCTTAACTGCCGGATCACGCTGTCAAAGACAGAAATCGGTGGAGCCATGCTTCATCGCCCTCCTGTTCGACGTCGCCAAGATCAGCATTGCCGCTCAGGATTTCGCACAATCGCTGCTTCGTCAGAGACATTGTAAAACTCGTCTCCCCATGAATAGCCGCCCGATCGGAGGATTTTCTGCTGGTTAAGACGCCGTTGCTAACCATCAGTCTCCACCACTGCTTCTCATCTGTCACATGCACATCCAGGGTAAATGCCTCGCTCGCCGCGGCTGGCCCATTTAGCCGGACCGACAACAGAGTTAACCACTGCTCCACCGACTGGCGCGGGTTCAACTGGCGACTCTGGGTCCTCGACGGTAGTTTATTTGCATTTGGCTGCTGGTGCTCCCCGCGCAAGTCACGCGCCGCGGAGAGGTAGAAATTCCGCCAGGTCGCGTTCTCCGCTCCGAACCCTAACTGCTCGAACACCGACGCCAGCGTGCGTGGGGCCTGTTCATGCTTTGCATCAAATGCAACTGCATGTCCCAGCAGTGTCGCGGCGAACCGGAGATCCCCGTCTTGCGCGAACCCTTCTGCCTTGCGGACCACTTCGTCAACGCCGCCCATACAGGCAATGTACCGCTTTGCGTTCTCGGCGGGTGGATATTCCCATAGATGTGCTGGGTTCCCGTCGAACCATCCCATGTAGCGCTGATAGATTCCCTTGACATTGTGACTGACCGATCCGTAGAACCCCTGAGCATGCCAAGCGGTCTGCAGCGCCGGCGGGAGGGTTAGGGTCTCGGCGATCTCAATTCCAGTGAGACCCTGGTTCATCATCCGCACGGTCTGGTCATGTAGATAGGCATACAGATCTCGTTGTTCGGACAGCAACTGCTCGATCTCTGTGGTGCCCCAGGTTGGCCAATTATGGCCCGCAAATAACACCTCCGACTGCTGGCCGAACAGGACCAGCGACTCATCCAGATACCGCGCCCAGGCTTTCGCATCGCGCACCAGAGCCCCGCGCAGCGTAATGATATTATGCAAGCTGTGTGTTGCACACTCGGCAATGTACAACGCACGATGATCAGGGAAGAAAAAGTTCATCTCCGCGGGCGCCTCTGTCTCGGGCACGAGTTGGAATTGTATCCGGACGCCGTCTATTATTCGTTCTTCGCCAGTCGAAGTGACAATCGTGTTTGGAGGCACAAACGAGTTTGTTCCCAACGACACGGTCATGCCAATGCCGCATCCAATTTGGCCGTCCGCAGCCTTGGGTAGCTGAGCTCCGTACATGTATTGGGCGCGTCGACGCATGGCCGGACCGACGTACATGTTCTCACTCAGGGCTTCATCTACAAATCCCTCCGGTGCGACGATCGGGATGGGACTCGCTTTTATTGCGTCAGCGGCAGGGAGCACGCCCTGCGCTCCGCCAAAGTGATCTATATGGGAATGAGAGTAGATCATCCCAGTGACGGGTCTATCGCCACGGTGTTTCCTATACAGGGCTAGAGCAGCAGCAGCGCATTCCACGGAAGTCAGAGGATCAATGACGATAACTCCCTCGGTGCCTTCGACCACGGTCATGTTGGCGAGGTCAAGGCCGCGGATTTGATATATTCCAGGGGTGACTTCGAACAGTCCCTGCATGGATGCTAATTGACCCTGCCTCCATAACTTTGGGTTTGCTGTAGCAGGGCATTCTGACTCTTGCAGGAAGTGGTAGGCATCATTGTTGTAGACGGGTCGACCATCGGCTGCTCGGATGATGCCGGGTTCGAGGGAGCCGATCAAGCCTCGAGAGGCGTTGTCAAAATCGGTTCGATCCGAGAAGCTTGGTTGTAGCTGTGCTGTTGTCATTATCAGTATGAGATATGCAAATGGGAAGTGCAATAGGGAGTAGTAGGTTGGACATCACTTATAGAGGGTGGCCGCGATGCTGCGGGGTGTTATTGCCGATTGCGCGATCGGCAATCGGCGTTAAAGATCAGATGTGCATCAAACAGCATCGTAGAGTCAGTCTACGATCTTGGAATGAAGACGAGAGCGGAGCCAGAGAGTCAATGGTGTGCATTATTATTAGTCGACCGGCAGTTGCCCCCACTGTGAGGGATCTTCTTGATACAGACTTGTGCTCTCATAACACCTTATGCCTCAAGACTAGTAGTAGCAGTATCACAACCCCACAAAGTACCTCCTCACAAGACAGCAACCACCAACGCCATTGCAGCACCACCAGCTATCATGGCCACTTCTCCCGTTGCTATCGGTGCTGCTCCAGTGCTGCGTACCGACGAGCTCGTCAAGGAGGCACTGGATGCCCGACTCTGAGTAGTCATATTACTCATGCTGCCTTGAGTATTCCCAACACTAGGCCCTGCACTTGCTGTGTTACTGACCGATCCAAATGTTGTTGGACTCATCATGTGTGTAGAGGCAGCTAAGCTGGAGCTACTCCAGGACATGGTGATCTCGGTTTCAGATGGTTCAGGTGTGGCATCTGTGGTCACTGTGTTGTGCTCCTCCCCAAAGGTTTGTGTCATGGTCTGGGGACTCGTTACAGGCCTTCAACAGTCAGATTCAGCGGACAAGTAGAAAGAACAAACACAGGCGCAGGCACTTACGAATATATCAGCTCGTCTCCGTCAACAATTATCAAGCCATCTGGGATACCAGTGGTCTGTGGTCCCCCATCAACAACAGTCATTCCCTCGCCCGCATCGCACGTCGTCATTTGAGTGCTGTCGTCACAATCAATCCTGTAGGATATTTCGACCACATCCTACGTATATCAATTAGCTGTGTCTCTCTCCATTATCCCTTGGATGTCTATAGACCCTACACCTTCCGTCATGGAGACTATCTTGTCATCTTCGTCCAACTGCTGAGATCCGATGCCCGTGGTCATCGCCCACTCTCGGGCGCACACTATTGTGGCCAAGTATGTAATGAGGAAAGTTGTAAGTCTCATGGCCGATCGCGACGACGTGGTAAGTCCTAGACGGTGGATTGGGTCGTTTTTCAAATGATAAGAAGGAGTGAGAAAGAAGGAGTGCGGGCATTGTTTGGGGGGGAGGGGGGAAGGAGAAATTGAGGAAGAAAGGCGACATGAAGACACCCTCGTGAGAATTGATTCGCAATCCCGGATGCAAACACTCACGTGGTCCCAAAGTTGCAGAACATCTAGTGGCAATTAAATAGGTGACACTGACATGACACAGTGAAACGCCCCGTGGTTCTACGTGAATGAGCTCCGAGCCATGTCGGTCAAGTTATTACAACCTTTGATGGGTAATTGTCAAATAGAGAGCATACATATTGGAAACTGCGCGCAGTAAGAGTAATTGAATATGCATTAGGTCATCTAGGTCTATCTATCATATTAGGCCGTAAATTTTATGCTACCGAAATTCATTATCCATAACCAAAACTTCCATGCACCCTTGGCGCAACCTCAACGGCTGCTGTGCAACATTTGTGCAAGGCACACTGTCGTCGGTATCAATGGTAAGATTAAAGACTCTGTTCGAGAAAGAATAGAAAGAAGAAGAAGAAGAAGAAGAAAATGAGAGTAGACTGTCCTAAGTAGCGGACACTCCTTGTCAGTCATGTCGAAAAACGTAGTCATTAGACCTGGGCTGTCTTGCGTGCAGGCTTGAGATCCGAAAAACAACAAGCTTTTCGGATATATGAGGGATATATATTCCACCATCGATGGACGGAGGACAAGAGACTGAAACTTTTTTGGGTGACACAAGAATTCAGACGGCTTCCGGAGTCACAGGGCGTGTGGCGTGATTATCTTCTGTGGCACTTTCATCTTTCAGCAGCTGCTGGCAGAATGTGCTTCTCTTGCGAATCCATTCTCCAGCATAGAGGAAGGCCACCGGAATGGGAATGCAAGCCAGGCTTGCAAAGCCCAGGACCGATGTCCCCCATCCGACCCCAAGGGCCGAATACATTGGATCAGCTGCCAGGGGGAAGACGGCACCCAGAATACTCCGCGTGATTACAGATGCTGCTAGGGCGCTGGCGGAATAGATCTTGTACGCATCGGTGACATAGGTCAACAGCGAAATGAAGATTATCTGGTATCCGAAGCCAAAGAACAGACCCGAGAGCACTGGCACCAACCAGTAAATCTGCGGATTGGCGGTCCATCCGAGCCAAAAGAGACTAATGGTAAGACAAGGTCCGCCAATGCAGGCTACCGGAAGTCGCTGTAGCTCCGGAATCGTCGTCCATCTTTTCCCTTGCGCTTTGGCTCGCTCATAGATGACGTCGTAGTAAAGTGAGACAAAGCCGGAAGATGCTGCCCCAATTCCAACTGGCAGGCTTAGTAGGTGGTAATAATGATTTCTTCTTGATAGGCACTTACTAGGTAAATAGCAAAGCGATGTTTGCTTCACATCAAACCCGTAGGTCCCTGTGTTTCTCGAGTCAGCAAACTTCCACACGCCAGCGAAAGTTCGTCGATCTATTCACTTGACAAAGAAAGATGAATAGATATTACCTTCAAAGATGATAGGGTATGCTTGGAAGCAAAAGAAAATAAGCCCATAGGCAAAAGCTAAATATATTCCGCTAAACAGAATAATTGGCTCAGTGAACATCATGGTGATCGGTCTTGTCAAGGTCTCTTTCAAGCTACACTGAATTGCAGTGCTCTGGAGCTCTCGCTGGGAGACATAACTATGGGTGGATGACTGCTTGTTTAGTATGGCGACACGCTTTTTCACAATAACCCGACTGAATGTCTCTGGCTTGGATGTTAGCTTCCTTGAAAGCATCAACAGAGCAGATGACAGCGCTGTATGCCTCACGCACCTGGCAGGAAAAGCGAACTAAGCCAGCTACAGCCGACAAGGATGAGGTCGATGCGGAATGTCCATCGCCAGCCGTACTGCGCGCTGCACCCGGAAATAATGGGACCAACAATCGGACCAAAGCTCGCCGCCTAAGTGATAGTTAGAGGTCTTTCCCGTATGTTTGCTCTTGCGGATAGCTTACCGCCATATAAAATGCCATGACTCGGCCCCGAGCACGTGGAGTCTCAAACATATCAGCGTAGACTCCACCTACTACGGTTTGGGGAGCGGCCCCCATGGCTCCGCATATGAAACGAAACACCAACATTGCTGGCCAGTTTGGGGCAAAGGTACACGCTATCGTGCCCAAAAGAAACACGGTGAAGCTACCAAGTAGAACAGGTCTCCTCCCAATTGTCTCGCTCAGTGGACTGAAGAACAAGGGACCCACGACATATCCAATAAGAAAGACAGCGGTGGGGAGAACCTTCTGCAGGTCACCTGTAACATTGAATTCGCGCATCATCACTGGAACGACATTGCTGGGTAAAGAGGACGATATCCCGGAGTTGAGCACTAGGAAGAGCGCTGTGAGAACGGTGAACATTTTTTTCCCCTGATTGTCGCAGATGGCTTGCTGTTAGCTTGAGCATCCATAACCCGTCGTTTCGATCACTCACATGAGTCCAATTAACTGGATTTTTCGCAGAATCATGATCAAAGTCCACAAGGACTTGATCTTCCGTCAAGCGGGTGAGTCTGTATCCTTCGCCGTCTGCCCACATTTTCCCTATCACGATGGTGGATGAGATAGCATCTTTCCTCCGGTTCCAATTTGGATCTACTCAGGGGATAGGGAAATAGGGTTAGCAATGCAAGGGACAGGCAACGATGAGGTCATACCGGAATGGTCGATCTCTCCGATGGGGGCTGTGAAACAGCGTTCTGTAGCCATGGCTGAGGCTTGCGCGTCGTGTATCACAGCAGATTGAGCCCCCTTTCAAATTGAACTTCCCGGTGTCTCCTTCAAACGTTGACGAGACACGCGGACTTTAAACCCTTATAGAGCCCTCATAGTAGGAAATGAGTCACTGAAATTTCACAATGATTGACTAGTCTAGTCAGTTATCTGAAAGGCCTTTCGCAGACAAGAGTCCACTACAATCTGGACCGTCAATACATCCTCGTGGCCCAATGAGCGATGTTGGATCTTCATCTTCTGCAACTGCAGCATCGGGGCCGGTCCGGCACCGGGGCCACAGAGCATCCCGGCGACGGCGCCGATCAGGAGCCGGGTTCAAAAACTGGCTTTCAAGGCCACACCATCTGTCATTGAAAGCGAAAGATTGTCCTTGGCGAGTCTACCCAAGCTCGGTGGATCAGATCCAGCTTTTCCCATCAAGGATTGATCAGCAAGCGGCATGCTATGCGCCAATTTTCCTGCTGGGTGGATAGCGGCAGGTTGGGTTCGGCAACGCAAGCACCGCACATACTCCCCTGGAAGGTCCTTACCGCATTTTCGAGCTATCTTTCCACCTTTAGCGTCGATGAGCATCCCTAGTTGATCGCCTCGTGTAGACCACGGTTTGATTACCGAATGTGTGGAATTCCTGATGGCGTACCCAGCTTACACGTCTATTGAGAGGGACACGTCCGTCATGAATGAAGGATTTAGCTCTTCCATTGGCAGCAAACCACTGCTACACCACTGGACTATTGCGGAATTGACGGCATCATGGGCAAGAAGTCAAAGATGTCGTTCTGCTCCTCTTCGAACAGGCCGAATGAATCGGCAATGGGGTTACACATCGACCAATTGGGAGCTTCCATTGGCCCCAGCAGTTTGGCAGGGAGCTGTCTGCCAGGCGCAGTTCTTTCAGCATTGGGTACCCCAGCGGCACCGCTATCCTTGTCGGCCTGAGGGGTCATTGCGCCTGCCGGGTAGTTCACCTGTTCGGATTGCATCCCGGAAGAAGTTGACACATCCACCGGGACTCCGTATGTCCCTCTACCTAATGAGAACTGCCCATTGGCTTGTTCTGAGGACTTTATTACTTCTGCACAGTACTCCGCATGCCCTCGTTGGCTAGCGACTAGGGCGCGACCGTAGTTGACGAAGATGGACACGGTACGGTGGATATCCGGGTAGGGCGGCTGCTTGAGAAAATCGCAGATCAGCTGGGCCCTCTCGAGGAGGAGATCCTGATCGATTAAGTCCGGACGCCATCGAGCAATCCGGAGAGCGAACGTTGCTTTTCAAGTTAGCTGACCTATCGAAAGAAATCGTGCCTCCACGTTCAGAGTCTCGTGCTACTTACTGACGAAGGCAAGGGTCAAGGCTGGATAGGTAGGAGCCCACGTGAGTTGGCAGCGGTAGGCACTTTCTTGGATGAAGCAATCCAGTTGGTCCATGATGGTCGTAGCGAGAGCGCGCCACAAATGTGAGACATCCTTGTCGCCTATTGTCTCCGAGTTGGGCTCGGCAGCACCGGATTGTAGTTTCTGAATCCGAGCCAAGGAGGCGCATAGGACGAATATTCGGGCGTAGTTCAACATCAACTTCAAACTACAGCGCTGGAACGCACCAGCATGAAAGGCGTTGTCTACAACGTATTACTACTGGCCAATGACTGACTGTCTTCTTGCATCTGAGCACTTACTGCCGTGGATTTCATCCCATGTGTTCCACCAAGTTTGCAGTCTTGTCATGACCGCAGGCAGCTCAACCAATACAATTTCATCAACGGTCTTGGCGTTCTCGATGGACATGCGCGATTGGCCTGGACTCTAGTCAGCAGATAGTCAGTCCTCCGGGGAGATGGTAGTACTTCGGAGCTGGTGGATCTCTATGATGGAAATGGTGCGCATATCACAGGGCAAGGATAGCGGATACTCCAGGAATTTGCGCAATTTCATCGTGTCCACTGCGTCGATCCGTGACTTGCGGCCTGTACCGGATGCCACGTCTAGTTCCAGTGTGAAGCTGATTAGCCAAGTCCTGGTCTGCCATACTAGCTTGCGGTCTTCCATGGAAGCTGACAAAGAACTGCGTGGTACGTCTTCTTGAGACAATAAGGCATCTAGAGATTTCTCTAGCCCGGAATCGAGGGCGGTACGCAAGATGAGTGCGGTTGAAAACCACGTCTTTTCAGAATAGGCAGCGAGCAGGATCATGCCTTGTACGGTTTCAACTTTGGTGGGGCGCTCAAAGAAACTATCCTCAGCCAGTCTCTGCGCTTCGTCTTGAAGAACTCGCTGAAGATGGGTATCGCTCCGCAAGTCCATCACAGCCCGACTAGCGAGGTAGATGATGACTGAGAAGCAGAAGAGGGAGCGAGAGCGGACCGAATCGAATGTGTCCCGGATGGGATCGAACAGTGCCAGAAAGTTCTTACTGCCACCCATGAAGCTGACAGTCTGTTAGCATTGATCCAGTATATGCCTGATTCAGGGAGATACCATACCGGTCATACATCACCCGTGCACGCTCTTCACTGATGATCCCACGGGCGATGATATCGCTCTTAGGATCCGCTTTGCTGGAGCTGTCCATGAAGATCTGCGAATCATCAATAATCTTTAGTTGAAGACTACTTCCGAACTACTCACGCTGCTTGATCCCAGTAGATTGACCGACATGGAGTGCATCACGGAAACCGGGGCGATCATGTCATTAGGACTCAACTGTTGGGGCTCCGGTGCATGTCGCTCTGCTGTTCCAGGCGAACTTAAATCCGCTGCGGCAGTAGACTCTGGAAGCGAATCGAGCGAGGTGTTGATTGGCACATCTTGTACGGTAGTGGATGTAGAGTAATCCTGTTCCCTAGGAGAAGGACTCCCGAAGCCGTGTGGTTCGGTCCAAGGAGACCTTGCCTGTTGGCGCCTGTGTTCAAGCTATATATTAGTTCGGTCTCATTCCGTAGATGCTCTAAGAGAGGTATATTCCTCTCACCTAATAGGACGAGTAGCCGGGGATGACCGCCGGGCACTCTGTCGCCTTGCGCTCTCGACCGGATCGAGGATGCAATCCCGGCCCACGGCGCGACAACGGGCGCAAGGGACCTGATTTCGGGCATCACAGCGCATTTTTTGCTTGCGACACCAGCGACATGCCTTGAAATAGCGCGTTGGGACATTTCCCGATCGGAAGCGTAGTTCCGGGACCGATTCGGACATGGTGGACGGGCCTTGGGGGAGTGGTGGATTTGGGGAGGGGAGCAATAAATTGCTTTTGCGGGGAAAAGTGAGGGTCAACTTCAGAGTCACTTTCTAGATAGTACTTCGTTAATTGATCGATGAGTGGTCACTAGTTAGCAGTTACTAAGTCACTAGCGGCTTCTTAGCCCGCTTGACTCATTCATCCCTGTTGCCTGTTGCCCCCCTCGCAGTCATCAACAGGCCACTGGATAAGCAACAACAAGCAGCACAACACAACATCTCGATGAACTACTAGAGCATGGACTAACTATATCAATTCGGGATATTTGCGGGACGTTCTGTCGAATCTTAGATGACTTGTTGATATTATCCGCCGTGCGAAATAAACTCTGCTGCCGCCATTTTCACCGAAACCTTGACTGCATGGAGCAAGAAAGGGCATCTCAGTATATGCCCGCGAGGAAGACTTTCACGGGGTCTTATTTGATTGATTGGGTTACCTCATCTGGGATCGAAGCAAGCAGGTACAACCAGATTCCAAAGCACATTGTCGGTTTCCCGAAAGCAACATATACTCACGCCAATGTCTCCCGAGTCAACCCGCTTAAGCTAATTTTCGAGTAGATCATGTTGGTGATGTTGGTGGTGCTTTGAAGTCAAAGTCAAGAGAGAGCGGGCATCGAAATCCACATGATCACCCGAGGCTTGCCCTACATTCGAGGTCCCCAGTAACGCTAGTGTCCACGGTCTCACTCTCCTCATGTAACTTCTCGACTAAACCTTTCCCTCCTCCGAGGACTGGTGGGTACAATCGAGTGCTTCCCGTCTCCGGCCCTTGTCAATCCCTAAAAATGGCAAAGCGGGCTCCATAAGACAGGCAGACATGAAATGAAGGTCTGCGTTCGTGGCTATCAGTGGGGCCATCACTGCTACACTACTTCTACACCAATACAGTAGTGAGTTCTTTTTGAATCACTGGGTGGACCTTATTCCACCGCACTACGTGGCATCTGGGATACTTTTAACAACGAGACTTTCTCTGATCGCTGTGGGCATGCAATCGTTCATCGTGACACCGTTGCAGTAGCATCATCCCTACCATGACCATCTCTGAAACATCAGCTATCCCTCACGGATCATGGGTCCTGGTTACTGGGGCCAATAGCTTGGTCGGATCCAATGTGGCCGATCGGCTGCTTAGTCGCGGGTATCGTGTCAGGGGAACCGTGCGGAATGCGCAGAGGCATCAATGGCTCGGAGATCTTTTCCGTGACAAGTATGGGAAAGACAGCTTTGAGCTGGTCCAAGTCCAAGAAATACAGCGTCCGGGTGCTTTTGACGAAGCTATGAAAGGTTCGTACACACTACATTGTTCCCTACGATACCTCACTAGTTAAGTACTCAACTGTACAATCAAAAGGTGTCTCGGGAGTAGCACATGTAGTGACCATTTTTGCCGGTCCAAACGATGGTCCGGGAGAAGTGTTCGAATCCATCAAACAGCTGGATCACAATATCCTTGCCTCTGCGGCAGCTGAGCCCAGCGTCAAGCGCTTTGTCTATACCTCCTCCTGCCAAGCGGCTAATACAATGGGCTTAGATGATCTGGACGGCAAGACAGTCATCACCTCCGAGACTTGGAACGAAACTGCCATTCAGCGAGCCAAAACTGGGTCTCCTGCCGAATGGAGAAGAGGGTTTGATATTTACAGCGCAAGCAAAGCCATAGGAGAGCAAGGGATCTGGGAATGGGTGAGAGAGCACAAGCCCGGGTTCGTGGCAAATACCGGTAAGCACATCTCTCCCTCCACCCTCAGAATATGTTCCAATAATCTAAATCTTTATGGCCAGTTCTACCCTCGTTGTGCTATGGTGCCTCTCTCGACCCACAAAATCAAGGGTTTCCTTCCACACTATTATGGCCAGCAGCCATAATCAGAAATGATTGGGCCTCAGTTTCCGAACACGTGAAGGCCCATCTCCCACTTGGTACGTTTGAACCGCATCCGTAGCCCCGACGGATACGAAGAATGAAGCTAATTCTACCCTGAAGGAGGGTACTGCGTGGGCATTGAAGACGCCGCACTTCTGCATGTCGCGGCTTTGACCAATCCCACTGTCCAAAACGAACGCCTTCTTGCGTACGGCTGGCCGTTTTCCTGGAACGATCTAGCTACCATCTATCGGACTATATTCCCGAACCGCGAGCTGCCAACAGATCTTCCTGCCCCCGATAAGGATGCCAATTTGTTGGATGTTCAACCTTCGAAGCGGTCTGAAGATTTACTAAAGGAGATGGGCAAGCCCGGATGGAGTAGCCTCAAGGAAATTGTTGTGGCCAATGCATATGGTCTGGTTTGAGGGTTACTTCTTGGCGGGGGTCATTCGTCGAACTGTGAAGCTCCACCCTTGTACTCACACTCAAGTACACATTTAGTGTGTCATTGAGCCTATTTGTACCCATGGGAAAGCAACTATATTGAAAAATGGGCAGAATTAGGTTGCTCAGATCAAGAGCACAATTAAGCACAAACAGCATTAAACATTAACATATTCCGCAAAACCAAATTCAGGCACCAGCATGATCTATCGCTTGACAAAATCACTCTCCTGTTCAAGCCAATCCCCAAAGTCCTTCAACCCCGGGTGCTTCTTCCTCAGCTCGCCGATATCAACCTGGTAACCTTCGTCATGGAACCATCTGTACATATACCCCATATCCTTGACAGCGGCCAGCAGCAAGGAACACACGAATTGGAATGTCATGGGTATCCGCTGACCGGTCTTCTGCTGAAATACCTGTGCCATCTGATCGAATGTCAGGTCATCTCCCGCCAACGAGATCGCTCGACCCTTGTACTCATCCGGGTTAAGAAAAGCTTCTGCGCCAAAGTGACCAATATCACTGACAGCAACCACCTGAAGGGGCTTCCCCTTCAGTGCCATTTTCCAGGACGTCGCGAAGACCTTGCCCAGGAAACCGGGGACCATGTTGTCCATGAACGCCACGGGGCGCAGAATAACCCAGTCCATATCAGTCCCCTTAGCTTTTTCCACCAGATGATGCTCGATGTGATGCTTCCTCAGAAAGTGAGGAACATCGGTCGGGTTGTTCCAGGAACGTTCCCCGCCACGATCCACGGAACTGTAGACGAAGTACTTGACTTTTTGCTTGAGGGCCTCATCGATCAGTTTCTTTCCTTGTGCTTCCTCATCGACGTTGCTGCCGATGGCCACCTAGCAGACACTGTTAGTATCTCATTGCTGGGATGGAGATTGGAATAGCGGAGGAATCGTACCTGAACACTGAAGACACCCCAAATCGGAGACGATGTCTGAGTGCGTGCATTGCGGAAGATGTCCGCCGGGTTGTCCAAGTTGCCTTCTACTAGTTTGATATCGGAGGACAGCTGTTTCAACCGTTGAGCCGAAGCGGAAGAAGAGTCTCGCGTGACGGCTAAGATCTCCAAGGGAGATTTTCGGGAGATGAGGTTTCGAATGAGAGAGCCTCCCTGTTTGCCGGTCGCGCCTGTTATCAAGACCGCGGTCATGATGATGGATGTGTGTAATTCTAGTGATTGAAAATAGGACTAAGTATTGTCAAGTGTCTGATGATGATGATGATGATATCGAAGTTGGTACTTCTTCTATCGCAATATATATACTGAGGTAGGAGAAGCAGACAAACACAACATGATGTAGCCCAATGCCTTCCACAGCCATCTTCACGTAATCAACAGCTTGATTTTGGATGATTAAATCAGCCTCTCGGGTTTCGGTCTTATCAATCTCATAGATTGACAGATCAGTTCTGTGATCGATTGGTTGTGTCAAGGAGAGTTCCACGATCGGAGTGGCTCCAAGCCCCGAGATGACTAAAGCGCCACCCGCTCGGCCTTGAGATCAAGCCCGATGCTTATTCCTTCTTTTTGCTCTTCATGCACCCAGGGCATCTGATGAAGTCACCAACTTTCCACAAGCCATCCATCAGGAAGGCTCAGGCCAGAATAGCGGAGGAATGTCTATTTCATCGACTACCTAATCTTTAGCTTCACTCTGCTCAGAGTACAGACCACCCGAGTATGCTCCTGTGCTGCCCGTCCACCCACCCCACGGAGACCGAAGTGGGCTAGCAACTCGCATAGAACATGGAGATGATGATGAGTTCCTAAGTAATAACTTGATAATGGGGCCATATACAATCATCTATCAAGCAAGCTACATTGATCAATGATGATCCGGGATCACTACCCCGGTGACAAAGAGACGGCATAAAGATGTGGAACTTGCTTTATGCATAAATCCTCAATCATTCAGTTGGATCCACTTTGGTCCCATGTTTCTGGCCTGATTTTCGGCAACAGGCAATCCGACCGGAGCTTAACACTAATCAAGAACATCCGGCTTCCGATCCACGAGAGTCCCCATGTTATAGATAAATAAGTACCCATGGAACCCATTTTCGGATCCCCAGCCTTCGGTATCCCGGCCACTGTCTATCCAAACTCTAGCGTATAAACACCACCATCCCAACCATGTCCGGTCTCACAATCCATCACCTCCGCCTCTCTCAATCCGAGAGAATCACCTGGCTCTGCGAGGAGCTCGAGATTCCCTACACCCTGAAATGCTACAACCGCCAACCGCCCACCCTTCAAGCCCCAGATGAGTACCGCAAGCTCCACTGGTCCGGCACTGCGCCCATCATTGAAGACAACGGCGTCACCTTAGGCGAGACCATGGCCATCTTCGAATACATCCTGACCAAATACGGCAAGGGCCGTCTAGTTCTATCCCCAGACCACCCCAAGTACGCAGACTACGTCTTCTGGCTGCACCGGGCACAGGGATCGACAATGCCATTCCTCATCGAGATGCTGTTCAGTCGGATGCGCGGTACCCCATCCGAAGAGGACGTTGTCTACAAGATGTCTGAATCACGGGTGAAAGCCACCTGTGAGGCGATGGAGCAGCAACTAGCCAAGAACACATACTTGGCTGGAGAAGAGCTCACCGCGGCAGACTGCGTGTCTGTCTTCCACTTGACGACGCTGCGGCTGTTCGTTCCCTACAGCCTTGAGGAGTATCCTCATATTGTGCGCTACCTGGAGCGTATCGGACAGCGTCCGGCGTACAAGAGGGCTATGGAGAAGGGTGATCCTGATCTGGTGCCTTTGTTGGCGGCGGCGGCACCTGCTAAGGCGCTGTTGTGATGTGCAATTAAATAATGTATATATTTGAAGTGTAAACTAGAATCTGATTTCGTATGTCGAGATACGCTATCAGGAATATGTAAAGTACTTACCTTCATGAAAGGGCACAAATCCTCTATAAAGCCTAGCTTGAATACCTTGGTATCAGGAGGACGGCGTATGCAAGTGCAGTTGGACTGATCGCCATCTACGATCAACACTGCTCCAGATACTATATCTCTCATCAGGATATCAGGTACAGACAACAACAGACTCACTTCCTATCCAGTCTATCCGACCTCTCCAACGGCCCCCCTCCCCCCCATCCTCCCCAACCAGACCCTAAGATCAAACACCCCCTCACTCAACTCCCTTTCGTCTCCCACGAACACAAAAACATGTCCTTTCTCCCTCCCAGGCTCTTTCCCATCCGTATACACAACCTCACAAGGCTCAGCGCGATACCATCCCGTCTCATAACTAGCTAATTTTACCCCATGCTCGACAGACTCCACACGATACACAACACCGTTGACTGCCGAGGAAGAAGTAATAGCCGGTATTATGGCCGGGTACTGTCCCCACAGTTTACAGGCGTAGCCTGTTACATACGCAGGTCGTAGATCTATCTTCGGGTCTGGGTCCAGGGATAGGATGTCTTGTAACATAGATGGATCCATCAACGTGCCGTAGAGAAAGTATGGACCTGTTGGGGCTGTTGTTGTGGGTGGGGGAGGTGGTTGGGGGACGGCGAGGGAGCGGGGCGGGACGGTTCGGAGATTTCGTATGACTGGGGATGATTTGGTACGGGGGTCTGATGGGGGTGGAGGTGGAGGTGGAGGAGCAGTTTTGGTGACTTGAGGGGACATTGTGGCGAAATTATAGACTGAGGAGTGTGTAGGCAGAAATAGAAGGGGGTTGAGAGATTGACGATGGATCGACAACCGGGGAAGCGTGGGTTAGCGCCGACGGCTAAGAATAGACTACCGGTCGATCACGGATTTTCAACGTGCCATATGCTAAGTAGTATGCAACTGCAGATCAATTACATCAAAAGAGACGGTCGTTATGCTATCGACTTTCAAATGTATGTACCAGGAATGTCTGTGTTAGATGTCCTCTTCTAGCCGAGGTATCAGGTGGGCAGGGATGTTCATGCAGCACATCTGTTAGAGTTGACGAGAAATCAAGCATCAAACATCCCAGTCATGGAGGCTGTTATCGGCTGTTACCGGCCGATAGCTCAGTGGTAGCCAGACTTTTGACCTTGAAAAACCCGGTTGGCACTCCACATCTACACCAAGCAATTCTGACCCTTGCATCCGCGGCAGGGAGGACAGGGTTTTCCAGCATATAACGCAACATCAGCACTGGAAAAAGCCTGTAAGAGGCCACGATTTCCAGTTGGGCTGGCTCAGGATGCAACTCGGACTCGAACTTGCAATGTAACACCATGCTGTATCAACTATTATATCCCCTATGATGCATTTCCAAGTCGCACAAGGCACCCATGGAATGCGGAGTCCCGATCGTGTTCGCCGATAAGAACCTGTCAAACCAGCCTAGTGCCGTCTAGACCCTGGTAAACTCGGCTATAGCACATACCAAACGCACGATGGCCTCCGTGAGGGAGTGCTCCTTACTTCGAATCGTTGCTGGAGAGGTCATGAGATATTTTCCGCCACACCACGGCCCTGCGCGATTTTGCCGCAGACACGGCCATGCTGAGTGGCTTCGGTTGGGTATATAAGATCGCTGATGGGGCCCCTCATGGGAGGAATTGAATCCAACCATGGGGCTCGTTGCGGAAACCCGACAGGCCATCCGGGACTCCCCCCGGGGGGTCTTTAACTGGTACTTGTTGATGAACATTGCCATTTTCGCACTGTCTGGAATCAGTAGGGGGTTCGATGAAGGTAGAGAGTGAAGATCATATGTCATGCAGGGTGCTGATCTTCGCAGCGAACATCGCATCGCTGGTCGTGCAATCTCGGTTTCGGATCAAATTCGGGCTCGGCCAGCAATCCCCCGACGAATATGCCAATACCAAAGGCTGGATTGTGTCAATGTTCACGGCTGGAATGGCCTTGGGCTGTTTGCTAGTAAGCTATCTACTCGGGAAATCAATAAATTTCGGGCTGACAGCTACTGTAGTGTTTACCCTTCAATGATCGAATTGGGCGGCGGTGGACGATGCGACTGTCGACCCTAGTATATGTCTCTGGAGTGTTGGGACAGGGTCTCAGTAATGGGAGCCTGTCCGGACTATACGCATCGAGACTGATCGCAGGTCTTGGGGTGGGTGGCTTGACTGTGACCCCTCCGATGTATATC